GTCTGTGCGTCTCTCTCTGGGTGTCTGTGCGTCTCTCTCTCTCTGGGTGTCTCTCTCTCTGCTTGTCTGTGTGTGTCTCTCTCTCTGGGTGTCTGTGTGTCTCTCTCCGGGTGTCTGTGTGTGTCTCTCTCTGGGTGTCTGTGCGTCTCTCTCTGGGTGTCTGTGCGTCTCTCTCTGGGTGTCTGTGTGTCTCTCTCTGGGTGTCTGTGTGTCTCTCTCTGGGTGTCTGTGTGTCTCTCTCTGGGTGTCTGTGTGTCTCTCTCTGGGTGTCTGTGTGTCTCTCTCTCTGGGTGTCTGTGTGTCTCTCTCTCTGGGTGTCTATGCGTGTCTCTCTCTGGGTGTCTGTGCGTGTCTCTCTCTGGGTGTCTGTGCGTGTCTCTCTCTGGGTGTGTGTGTGTCTCTCTTTGGTTGTCTGTGTGTGTCTCTCTCTGGGTGTCTGTGCGTGTCTCTCTCTCTGGTTGTCTGTGCGTGTCTCTCTCTGGGTGTCTGTGCGTGTCTCTCTCTGGGTGTCTGTGCGTGTCTCTCTCTGGGTGTCTGTGCGTCTCTCTCTGGGTGTCTGTGCGTCTCTCTCTCTGGGTGTCTGTGCGTCTCTCTCTGGATGTCTGTGCGTCTCTCTCTGGATGTCTGTGCGTCTCTCTCTGGATGTCTGTGCGTCTCTCTCTCTGGGTGTCTGTGCGTCTCTCTCTCTCTGGGTGTCTGTGCGTCTCTCTCTCTCTGGGTGTCTGTGCGTCTCTCTCTCTCTGGGTGTCTGTGCGTCTCTCTCTGGGTGTCTGTGCGTCTCTCTCTCTCTGGGTGTCTGTGCGTCTCTCTCTCTCTGGGTGTCTCTCTCTCTGGTTGTCTGTGTGTGTCTCTCTCTCGTTGTCTGTGTGTCTCTGGTTGTCTGTGTGTCTCTCTCTGGGTGTCTGTGTGTGTCTCTCTCTGGGTGTCTGTGCGTGTCTCTCTCTGGGTGTCTGTGCGTCTCTCTCTGGGTGTCTGTGTGTCTCTCTCTGGGTGTCTGTGTGTCTCTCTCTGGGTGTCTGTGTGTCTCTCTCTCTGGGTGTCTGTGCGTGTCTCTCTCTGGGTGTCTGTGCGTGTCTCTCTCTGGGTGTGTGTGTGTCTCTCTTTGGTTGTCTGTGTGTGTCTCTCTCTGGGTGTCTGTGCGTGTCTCTCTCTCTGGTTGTCTGTGCGTGTCTCTCTCTGGGTGTCTGTGCGTGTCTCTCTCTGGGTGTCTGTGCGTCTCTCTCTGGGTGTCTGTGCGTCTCTCTCTCTGGGTGTCTGTGCGTCTCTCTCTGGGTGTCTGTGCGTCTCTCTCTGGATGTCTGTGCGTCTCTCTCTGGATGTCTGTGCGTCTCTCTCTGGATGTCTGTGCGTCTCTCTCTGGGTGTCTGTGCGTCTCTCTCTCTCTGGGTGTCTGTGCGTCTCTCTCTGGGTGTCTGTGCGTCTCTCTCTCTCTGGGTGTCTGTGCGTCTCTCTCTGGGTGTCTGTGCGTCTCTCTCTCTCTGGGTGTCTCTCTCTCTGGTTGTCTGTGTGTGTCTCTCTCTCGTTGTCTGTGTGTCTCTGGTTGTCTGTGTGTCTCTCTCTGGGTGTCTGTGTGTGTCTCTCTCTGGGTGTCTGTGCGTGTCTCTCTCTGGGTGTCTGTGCGTCTCTCTCTGGGTGTCTGTGTGTCTCTCTCTGGGTGTCTGTGTGTCTCTCTCTGGGTGTCTGTGTGTCTCTCTCTGGGTGTCTGTGTGTGTCTCTCTCTGGGTGTCTGTGCGTGTCTCTCTCTCTGGGTGTCTGTGCGTGTCTCTCTCTGGGTGTCTGTGCGTGTCTCTCTCTGGGTGTCTGTGCGTCTCTCTCTCTGGGTGTCTGTGCGTCTCTCTCTGGGTGTCTGTGCGTCTCTCTCTGGATGTCTGTGCGTCTCTCTCTGGGTGTCTGTGCGTCTCTCTCTCTGGGTGTCTGTGCGTCTCTCTCTCTGGGTGTCTGTGCGTCTCTCTCTCTGGGTGTCTGTGCGTCTCTCTCTGGGTGTCTGTGCGTCTCTCTCTGGGTGTCTGTGCGTCTCTCTCTGGGTGTCTGTGCGTCTCTCTCTGGGTGTCTGTGCGTCTCTCTCTGGGTGTCTGTGCGTCTCTCTCTGGGTGTCTGTGCGTCTCTCTCTGGGTGTCTGTGCGTCTCTCTCTCTGGTTGTCTCTCTCTCTGGTTGTCTGTGTGTGTCTCTCTCTGGTTGTCTGTGTGTCTCTCTCTGGGTGTCTCTCTCTCTGGTTGTCTGTGTGTGTCTCTCTCTGGTTGTCTGTGTGTCTCTCTCTGGGTGTCTGTGTGTGTCTCTCTCTGGGTGTCTCTCTCTGGGTGTCTGCGTCTCTCTCTCTGGGTGTCTGTGTGTCTCTCTCTGGGTGTCTGTGCGTCTCTCTCTGGGTGTCTGTGTGTCTCTCTCTCTGGGTGTCTGTCTCTCTCTGGTTGTCTGTGTGTGTCTCTCTCTGGGTGTCTGTGTCTCTCTCTCTGGGTGTCTGTGTGTCTCTCTCTGGGTGTCTGTGTGTCTCTCTCTGGGTGTCTGTGTCTCTCTCTCTGGGTGTCTGTGCGTCTCTCTCTCTGGGTGTCTGTGTGCGTCTCTCTCTGGGTGTCTGTGTGCGTCTCTCTCTCTGGGTGTCTGTGTGCGTCTCTCTCTCTGGGTGTCTGTTTGTGTCTCTCTCTGGGCGTCTCTCTCTCTGGGTGTCTGTGTGCGTCTCTCTCTCTGGGTGTCTGTTTGTGTCTCTCTCTGGGCGTCTCTCTCTCTGGGTGTCTGGGTGTGGTCTCGGCCCCCAGAGGCAGGCGGTGGTGACCTCCTGAAACAGTCAGACACTGGTGAGCTCGGGGAGCAATGCTGGTGTTTGGTGGGTCTCCAGTCCCTCAAATGTAGTGTGTGGTGTACACGGGCCTGAGCTGGAGTCGCCCCCCACTCCCCCCATCCCGAGTGGGGGGAGTGGCTTTTGTTAAAGAAAGCATTCAGATTTTTTGTGCAACAATGTGTTATTTCTTACTGTTTAGTTTTTATCAAAGTGAAACAATGTAGGTTGGATTACCTCAATAGCAGTCATCACCCCCACAATTTCCCCACAAACCTTCAGTTTTGTTCCTCACCGAATGTATCCCCAGCATTTTAATGATGTTGATTGACAACATATTTAGTGTTAGTTTGTATTTGATGATTATTAGTCATGTTTTTTCTTGAGGTAACTGAACAACTTGCTTATTCTGTATTTTATATCGCAGGAGTTTTCTTCTTGTACGCAGCACTGTCAGGTCTGGGAGTTATTTTCATCTATGGATGCCTTCCAGAGACAAAAGGAAAAAAATTGGAGGAAATTGAGTCCTTGTTTGAGCACAAGCTGTGCACATGTGGTCTTTTGGATTCCGATGAAGGTCGGCACATTGAATATATTCGAGTGAAAGGAAGTAATTACCATCTTTCTGATAATGATGCTTCTGATGTAGAGTAATTTTCTGCTCTGGAGCATTTCATAAACTTACCACTTCTTGAAAACAAGAGGTGTTGATGAGCTTCTGCCCTGGTGTTGGTCTGGTGCTTGATTCTGTACTTTCATTCTGGTTTAAAATCATCATAATCCAGGCATTATTTGTCTAACATTGTAAATGAATGTATTTTTGTTCCTATAGTTTTTAATCCACTCTGCCACTGTTCTTAATTATCCTCCATGTGGACAACTAAAGATGAAAATGAAGATGAATTTATGTGATGCACAGGTGGGCAAATAAACATGCATCAAACTCGTACCCAAATGAATTATCCAAATAGTCACTTTGTGACTAGAACTAGGTTCTATACTTCTCAGATGTTATGATGAAAAAATATTATGTAAGTATTTTGTTGGTGCAAATTATATCAAATTGTTTTCTTTTGACTCATTTTTAAAAGTAAGGTAATCCTGGAACATACTTAGTTTTATTTCAAAGGATGTTTTGAAGTATTCAGAATGCTATAGCAACAATGGTGGATTAGGGTACCAAAGTGCTTTGTTGTGAAGGTTTTTCCCCCTGGTAAGGTTTAATCTTCCCTGCATTTCAATGCAAGTTGAGGAACATTTCCCCAGGGAAGTAAATAATATCTGTGATCTGCTTGTAAGCATATCCTTGCAGCTAATTGAAAAGTATAATTTGGCAAAAGGTTTTAGAATACATTGCCTGATTGCTGGCCTGTTATTTTGGACAATAATTAGTTTGAGGGACCTGAATTGAATCAGTAGCAAATAAAGTTGTTTTTAAAAGTGCATTGCAGGCATTATTATAAAATAATAAATTATTGATTGTAAACTAAAATTATATTCTGGTGTCTAATGCAGTAAAACTGAAGCACATGATGTATGTTGAAATAACTATGTTGACACAGACAAATAATTCAATTTTATTTTGTCTTAATTTAAAATAGTATCTTGCACTACACTGTATTGCAAGTAATCTTACAGTGAACCTAAACTATTTGACAAATATTGAAACACATTAAGTAATGCTTAGTTGAAGTTTCAGTTTGCAAGGAATACTGGAATTTCACATAAGGGTGCCAAATATCATGTATTATAGAACTACACTTTTCAAAGTTAAATACTTTAAGGTCCAAGCCATTAATGATTTTCTTCATGTGTTGTAATTTCAAAAAGTCAATGTGATGCAAAGCAAGTTTTTAAAGTCACTTGGGAGTCGGGAATGCAACAATTTAGAAACTCGAATGCAGCGATCCTTCCCTTGTTTGGCAAAAAATGTTCACAAACCAAATGTGAAAACCTATCTAATTTGAATGGTATCAATGTGAATGATATAAATGTAGCATTAGAATACTCCTGCAAGTAGATAGTATGTGGATATATGAACATATCTGTCAACAAAAATAGTCACTAAACTTGAACAGTTATCTAGATTTACTTTTGAGAAATTGGAACAGGAGGCGTTATAAAGTGCAAATTCTTTTCTTTCTATATTTACATCTTCACTCCTAAAGACAGCAATCAATTATGATAATGTAACACTTCATTGATGGGCAATTGATTCCAGGTTGAAGCAAAGTTTGATTTTTATGTTTGTATAAGATATCCAATTGTTGCCTATTTTAAGCACAAGTAGGAAAATGTATTTTAAATTATTTGAATAGACATTAATTTATTTGGGTTCTGAATCTATAGTGCTGTAGCACACATGAACATAGTTGTAGCTTAGTACTGTATAAAAACAACTTATCTTACCATAACAAAACATTCCAGTTAGAAATTGTCTATATAATGTGAAGTATTTTTGTATGTTCAATTCACATCATGTATTTGGTGTAAAAAACTTTGAAAGACATGCTGTTGCATAATGTTTCAATTATTTGGAATCTTACATGATTGTCAGTGCTCTGAAATGCCTTTGCAAGAAGAAATTGTTAAAATACCAATTAACTATAAAACATAATAGTATGTTTTTCAAACCAAAATTAATATGTATAACCTCAGTTATGACATGCTATCTAGTTTCTGCTAACTCTTAATCTTGGAGATCATTACGACAAGTGGCATATGAAATGGACACTTGTTTGACACTGGATATCCTAAGTATATGGGGGGTATCTGACACATGAGAATACATACTTGGGAATTTCTGTGTCTGGAATGGAATGTGCACTCCCTCTCGATATGGTTGCACCCTGCTTACCTAAATGTTCTACAAAATTGAGTTTGACATGACTTTGTGTAGTTTTGTGTACTAGGACCATATGCAATTCCCAAGTACAGTGGAATTCACTTTTGCCGGATGCCGCTTAACCTCGGACCTCAGGTAAATCGAACAAATCATCCGACCCCGATTCAATTGTCTTCTTACCTGTTTTAAATAGGCCTATTAATTCAGATGAAAATCTGTTTAATCCAGGCAAATTGACTTGCTAGTCACTGCTGAATGTACTCACTCAGGCCTTATGTGTGTCCAGCTTTCAGCCATGAGGGGCTCCTGGATGTAGATGGGAGGAGTCAAATTGTGATTGACAGTGGACTCCAGCCATTCACAAGTGATTGGAGTTGGTTGGGCTGTCAATCAATGAGGGGAGGAGCAATGGGGAAGAAATAAAGGAAGGAATGGGAGGAGTAAAATTGCAATTGATTGACAGCTGACAAGTGGAGCCCATCCATTCACAAGTGGCTGCTGGTTGTCAATCACCTCAGCCCTGCTGCTAATTAGTTCCCCCATCCAATGGGAACAGCAATGGGAGGGAGGAAGCTCCGCCCCTCCACTGTAGGTGGGGAAAGTACGGAACTGTATTTTGCAGCCAAAGTAAATATATTTTACTGAATTTTGTGAATGTTTTAACTTCAATTGGTTAGTTAATATTACATATTATACTGTGACACCGCAGCTCCTCTGCTGGGCGGGAATCGTATTTTGGTTAATAATAATTATAATCCTTGCATTTGATACAGCGCCTTATCTCGTCATTGAGACTTCTCAAAGTGCTTCACACACTATATTGGTAAGCGGATTGACTATGTATTTTGTGGGCAAACAGTCGTGAATTGAGTGACCACATTTTTTGGAGGGGAGGGATTATTACCCCCCGGGAAGAGCGAAACAGACTAATTCCGCACATCCCTCACCCATTGTTGCTCAAGGCATATGCCGTCATAGCCTCTTCCATCTCCCCAGCTGAACCAACCACAAGACAAAATATCTGTCCCCAATGTGTCCGGCTAAACTGGCTTCCAATGTACTAAAATTCTTCAACTTCACAAAAAATGTGTCCATAAATTAGTTTTTTTTAAAAAAGTACTAACATATGGTACTTGAGATCTTAACACAGTTATGGAACAGTCACTTAAGGTCATCTATATGAAATTAAAATAATTTTTAAACAGATCTTTTTGGGTATGAAGACATTTGCTTTGATTTAAAAAACCATGTGACTATATTATCACACTCATTATACAGTCCAAACTTCTTTTTAATTATGTACCTACAAATGTGCATCTTTTTATTTTATTTATTTTTCAAATTTATGCCACCTGTAGTAAAATCAAATGTATAGTGCATATTTTAGTTTTATGAGCTAGGCCAGAAAGAGTTGTCTCACTTCTTCACCAAATATTTGATGATGCAGTTAATTTTCATTGCAGTTAACAAAGTGTAAGTTTACATAGTGTGTTGCCTAACAATTAAGTTAGCTTGCCAATTTTCTGAAAACATTTTTAGCTTCCTAAATAACATGACAAATGTTTTTGATATAAACATTGTGCAAATTGGTCAATGGCAGTCTTGAAGTTCTGTGTTAATACCAGTCGATGCTAAAATATTTGAACTCGTTATCTTTGTGAATGCAAAAATGTGCAACTGCGTAACACAATCAAAATAGCTGCTTGCTGCTTTTGTATTGTAATAGTACATTTGTAACAGATTGTTCTATTAGTATTAGTGATATGCAAATTTACTCTTAATGTTTGTAACTGAAAAGAACTGTTCAAAATTTTAGATATGATGCCGTTTGTGCAGTTACAAGTGGACCTATGAAAAACTGAAATTTGATATAGCAAGTCATAAATTATGACTTTACGAATGTTTTGCAGTGTAATGTACAGCATTGTCATGTTTGAAGACCTAACTGTAATCTGATACAACAGTAGATTACATCTGAGTATATTGTGCAACTGGCTGAATATAATGGGGTTGCCAGGGTCATTTTTTCTGTGATGTTCTAAGTATCCTGAATTATGAAGCTGCTGTGAGAGAACCATAATAACAGTCAAGAAGCACTAACCTACACATTGAAATAAAAAGGTAGTATTATTATCAAACTGCAGCACAGGTATTTATACAATTGTGTGTTATACCACTATCGATCACACAAGCAACAAGCCTCCAAAGAAAGCTAAAATAATATTCAAAATTAGTATCAGACATAGTCCCAAATGCTTTTTATTTTCTGATTCAAATGAAGCAAAAACTGGCTATGGTTATTTTACTTCTTTGTGTTTTAACCTCATGTTCCATTCATATGGAAGTATTTATGAACACAAAACTTCATGCCCCACTACAATCAACACATGCAATCAAATTTGGAATGTCCTGAAAAGAAGCACTTTAAAAAGACAGTGATGCCAAAAAATATTTTTTAACAACCAGAAAATAAACAAATTTTCAAATAATATTGAATTTTAAGGTTTCCTGGCAATCCAGACTCAAATTTGTAATTTTTATTAATGGTATTTGGAATATTTTTCTCCAATTAAGGGTAAATAAATTCAAGTTTACAATGTAAAACTTATTTTCAAATCTGAAATGTTTGTACAGATATATATTTGTTACTTCATGTTACTATACACGTTTTATGAAATGATATATGGGTCCAAATCATCGAATTCTATCAATTCTTAAATCAACATGTAAAAGGAACAAAAATAAATGTTAACTGATTACCTACAGCACTGTGTTAAAATTTAATTTTACATATTTGCATCTCTTGAGGTCTAGAACAACCATAGCAAACTAGTAACAGTAAAGCGATTTTATTTTCTGTTGTCACTGTTTCCAGTTCCAATAAGCTTTGATCTTGAACTCCTTTAAAGCTATAGTCAGTATAGCTTTACATGAGTTCAAGTTCAAAGTTAATTGTAATGAAATGTTTTTCATATCTTGCAATCTTTGTTTAAATATTTGGATTGGTTTAGTTTACATACAAGTTATGCATTACATCATAAAGTCTATGTAGTGGGAAAACATTCTAAATGATATCATAACTGTACGAACAGATAAATAATTTGTTCAATTTATAACTGTTGGGAATGTCCAAGCAACAGTAAAATATCAGCTATCTCATGTAGTGTTTTGTTTTCCTCCGAGCTCCTGCCGATTATATTGGGTCCGAATGTCATGTCTGTTACATTTGTTTGTCTTGTTGACTCTTGTGCTGAATTTACTTTCGAGCCAAAGCGATGATTAGATTCTACGGATGCCGTTTCTGTGGCTGATACATGAATGACATTTCCATCACAACCTGTAAAAGTTACATGCTCAGAGCATTATTTTGAAAGAGTTGCAAATCTTCAGTTGCATATATTGTTAGCATAAAATTGATTGGGATGAATGAAAATACTACAGTATTAAACAGGTTATCTGTGGTTCATCCATCCAGTATTGTATTAATTTTCCATGAAAATAATGGGGGAGGAAATTCAATACTCTGATGTGTATTTTGACACTAGGGATATTATGTCCAATAAAAAGCATGGTGCCATTAACACAACAGTTTGGCATTAAATGTTGTGTACAATATTGACATTTCAAAGACAACTAATCATTCAAGATGAGCGCTCCGGGACGTTACCCCGCGTGAATGGCGCAATATAAATGCAAGTTGTTGTTGAAAATAACGTGATTTGAGAGCAATAATTGCAGATATGATAAACAAATTACCTGCTAAATCCTGTTGATTTATCATATTCTGAATGCCAGATGAACTGTAGATTTTACTTTCATCCGGAAAAACTTTCTTTAGCTGAGAAAACTCTGATCTTTGAATTTCCCTGTTTCTGCAGCTAACGTGGATCAGAACAGAATTACTGTATCTTGCAGTGGGTTTAGTATTCCCTTCATTTCTGACTTCATAACCTTCTCCTGCATTTCGCTTAAAGCATTTTACGTCATCCAGTTTTTCAACGCATTTCCTGTCATCAGAACTCAAAAAATCTGTTTCAATAAGCAGTTTGTGTTTCTTGATGCAATTTTCCAGACCACGTGAGTATTCATGTGATGGGATGCACTGCCCCCTAGTGGTATGTATTAGATTGCTGTCATCTTTCAGATTAGGCAGTTTCTTGCCAGAAAAGGAAAGAATCTCTGTAGCATTAACTAAGTTACACTGTATAGCAACATCTGATTTTTCCAAAGATATGAGGGAACTTTCCGTTTGTGTGCATTCATCTTGACTACAAAACAGTTTGTGGTAGATGGTAGTTTTATCAGAAGTAAAAGTCTGTGGTACGTAATTCACCAATGGGGATGGAACAAATTGATCTTGGGTTTCATTCTGCCCATTATTAACAAAGGATCTTATTTTTACTGGGTGAATACTGACCTTTTGAATATCTGAATGATGAGACTGATATTTACTATCAGTGTCTCTAGGATTTTCTTGTGGTAACGTTTGAATCTTAAATTCTTTTTTCATCCTTTTGATGTCACAAAGATTTTCTTGAACACAAATGTTTCTTGTAATTGAAGAATCTAGTTGCATATTTTTATCATCTATTAATTCTGACTGAAAATAAAAACATATTTTGCAAACGACTGCATATAAAACATTTTTATGTGATCATTCAGCTCACGGAGTCTGCACTGGCTCTCTGATATCTTGGATACCAATAACTCTAGAACTTGTATTTAGTTAATAAGGTAGTATATCTCTCTATCCAATATTTGATTAGCTTGAGCCTTTTGGCATTTGGATTTAAAAGGGAAAACTGGAAATTTGAAATAGAATTTTAAGTATTTTTTAATGTCTGTGGCAGACGAATAAGCATGAATGAAAAAAGTTTATAGACAGATATCTTTCTTGTTCTTTCTGAACTCTTGCCTTGATTAAGTCCTTCAGAATTATTTTGGCAATGTTAACTGCTTAAATTTCTTCTCTGCTCTCATCTGCTCTAATTTATTCTCTTCCTGAACACCTGACCCTGCAAAGGAAACCTAATGTTTACCTACCTACATCTGTGATTCTCTGATGCCCATTACAACTTTTGACAATCAGGCATTCTGGTCCCAATATCTCAACATGGGCAGCCGAAAATTCTACCCTTCTACTCTGAACAAACTGGTCTCCATATTCTACCTTTTCGCCCACAAAATATAGTCAGTTCACTTTACAGTATATTCTGTGTAGCGCTTTTGAGACGTCTCAAAGATGTGATACAATGCTATATCAAATTGAAAGGATTATTATTATTTATCTTTGATCACAAAAAACTTAATCTTGCAGGATAGATTATAAACAATCAAAAGAATGAGACCCTACGAAACATATGTATTTGGCTTAATATCCTCAATTTCCAGGTAGCTCAGTTGTTTCAGTCCTTTAGTAAGGGGACTTAAATTAGAAGCTCAGCCCTCCAAGATAAATACAACAAATATCACGCCTAAACATCATTCTTGAAGAGGGTATAAGTGGGGTTGTTCTTGAGGCTGACCGTGACAGATTGGTATCATTTCCTGTTATAGTTTGCCATCAATCCTATGAACAAAGCCCTGTAAGAAGTGGAGCAGCTGTTTATTAATGGCCTCTGCCCTAGATTCTGTGGCAAAAGTTTAAGCAATCGAATGTGCCTGACAACTTAAGAGTATCCCCAAAATCTAATAACATTACTAGTATTCTTACCATATCAGAAACTGCACTGCAACAACTCTCTGTTTCTTCTGGGGAATCGCTGGTAGATTGGCTGCTTCCAAATGAATTATCCAGCACTGAAAATGATTGTTTTTACATTTAGCAAACTCAAGTAATATCTTTTATATATTGCACTATTCTGTCAACAGGAAAGATTCTATGTTTGAAAAGTCAGTCATACTTTTGTTAATTACATCAGAATAGGGAAAATAATATTCAGCTTCATCAAAAGACAAGTAAATGAGATCTTTTTGTGCACTTGGTACTCAAAAACAGCAACAGAACAAAGGCATACTTGAAGAAAACGCCATTTAGCCCATCAAGTCTACTTTATAGAGAATACAAATTTACTCATTTTGGATTCCACCTTACAAAAAAATCTGTACAATGATTCAAACATGAGATCTGTGCTTCACAGAAAACACTCCATTGTAGTACAGAACCTTGTGTGTCTCTTAAAATATTTGTTGATCTTTGACTACAGTTATCCTTATATCCTCCAACATTTTTCACAAGTAATTGTTAATTTGCCCAATATCAACTGCTTGGTTGGGAATCTGCTCCACAAATCTTCTATGAGAAAAAAATGTTTATTTCCAGTCTCACTTGAAAGGCTTGTTTATTTTAAGTCTCTATATCTGGTTCTAGGTTTATAGTCTAAGACAAATACTCTTAGTTTCTAGCTCAGCGAGCCTTACAACCCCTCATCTCCCAGCTACACTGGTTGCCCATTCCCCCAGAAGATCGAGTTTAAGAACCTCATCCTTACCTTTCAAGCCTTCCATGGTCCTCCCAACCTCTCTGACATGTTAAAACCTTACCAACCTGCCTGCTCCCTCCACTCAGAAGGCACTGACCTGCTCCATGTTCCCTGCTCCATTATCGGCAATAAGGCTTTCAGCTCATCTGTCCCCACCCTCTGGAACTCCACTCTAGGGTCCCTCCACCTCACACCCTCTCTTGCTTCCTTCAAGGCCCATCTTAAGAACTTCCTTTGACTGCATTGGTCATCCTGGGTCAGATGTGCGTCTGACATGTGTAGAAACCCAATGACATGCTTAAAGTTAAAAGTATCCAAAATCTTGTTTGAAATGTTTGAATTCAATTCACTGCAGCGAAATTCACTATAAAACAGGTGCACTGCAAATCCCATTCACTGCCCATACAAGGGTTGACTTGATTCCAACATTCTGTTGCCAAGCATATCATCACAACAACAACAAAATTACATTTATAGAGTGCCTTTCACATTGGTGGGACATCCCAAGGTGCTGGACAGTCAGGGGTCAGGACCCAAGCATGGCGAAGGGGTGGGGTGGGTGGGGGTGAGGGAAGGCAGAGAGGTGGGAGGGAACTACAGGCACATCGAAGAGGAGGGTCTTGAGACCGGCCTTGAAGGAGGCAAGGGAGGAAGTGAGGTGAAGGGACTGTGGGATGGAATTCCAGAGTGTGGGGGCAGAGAGGCTGAAAGCTCGGCCACCAATGGTAGGGCGGGTCGGGCGAGAGACATGGAGCAGACCAGAACCCGCTGAACGGAAGGAGCGGGCAGGTTGGTAGGGAGTCAGCAGGTCAGAGAGGTAGGAAGGGGCAATGCCATGGATGGCCTTGAAAGTGAGGACGAGGATCTTGAATTCGATCCTCTGAGGGATGGGGAGCCAGTTGAGTCGAGCGAGGGTGGGAGTGATGGGGTCACGGAGCCTGGTGCGTCAAAATATACATGAAAACGTTTCAACCAGAGAATTTGTTAAGGGAAACAAGTTGTATTAGGTTACTTTATAAATAATTCATCTGAAAAAAACAGATGTATTATGTTGCAGTGATACATCCTGTAACTCAGTGGTTAAAGCACTCGCAAGCGAGAGGACCTAGGTTTGATTTCCGGCAGGGCAAAACGCTGGGCACATTTCCTTACTCCACACACCTCTGTTTAGCTAGCAGTAAGTAGGATTGTTAGTTAATTGCTGGATCACTTTTCCAGAGTAATAATTCTTTCATCAAAAGAAACAAAAATAATTTGGTCACTCAATCCACGACTGTTCCTGGGACACTGCTGTGCATAATTGGCTGCCTTGTTTCACCCACAAAATATACAGTCAATTCATTTTACAGTATATTCTTTGAAGGGCTTTGAGACGTCTCGAAGACGTGATAAGGTGCTCAATCAAATGCAGTTATTTATCATTATCAGTCTGAAGCACAATCTGTAAGTTTAAACACTGTGGCGATTCTTTAATTGCATTTCATGGATCTACTGTTCAAGTTATGGTACTTCTGTACTTGCCAAACTGTGCAAAGTCTAAATGGGGAAAGAGATTATATGATAAAATATTCAAACTATGGGTAATTACACAAAGTTTAGAATTGCAACTGCAAGCAAATCTGAAAAACAAATGAAATACTTATATCAGAAATTCCCACTACTTGTACCAAATAATTTAATATTTAATATTTTTGTGGTCACTCTTTTATTTTACTGCAAGTGATGGGAACTATTTAAAAAGTGAAGGGAGTTTCTCCTGGTATTCTGTCCAAGAATCCCCACATAAAATTGGTCATTCATTTCACAGCTATACAGCTGTGAGATACTGCTGTGCGTGGTGCTTGCCTTTCACCCCTACAACATTCGTATTGTTCATAATATTTTTAATATTTGGATTCAATTTTGAGCATACCACGAGAAGGAGGAGGGGGGTGAGAGGGGGTTAAGGATGAGATGCAAACTCCTTGCTTGTTAGCCTACCCAACTCCTCCCTCCATAGGCCGCAAATCATCCAGAACTCTACAGCCTGTGTCCTCTCCCGCACTAGGCTCCGTGACCCTATCACCCCCATCCTCACCCGATTCCACCTACTTCCCATCACACAAAAGATATAGTTCAAGATCCTGGTCATCACCTTCAAAGCCCTCCATGGTCTTTCTCCCCCCAACCTCTGCAACCTCCTACCCCCTACCATCTTGCCCGCTCTCTCCGCTCAGTGGGCTCAGGCCTGCTTTACGTCCCCCTCCTCGCTCGCCCCACCATTGGAGGGCAAGCCTTCTGCCGCTCTGCCCACACGCTCTGGAACTCCATCCCGCAGTCCCTCCACCTCACCACCTCCCTTGCCTCCTTCAAGACCCATCTCAAGACCCTCCTCTTCAAACTTGCTTTCGATCACCCTGCTTCCCCCCCCCCTGCCCTCCACCCTCCCTGATCCCAACCCCCAGCTCGGGTCCGAAACTCTGATTGTCCAGCGCCTTGGGACGTCCTCCCGACGTGAAAGGCGTGATACAAATGTAATTTTGTTGTTGTACTATTTCATGATACTTTATAGAACTCTGCAGAACTCTGCAGCCCGTGTCCTCTCCCGCACCAAACTCCGTGACCCCATCTCCCCCACTCTCGCCCGACTCCCCTGGCTTTCTATCCTTCAGAGGATCCAGTTCAAGATCCTGGTTCCTCACATACAAAGCACTCCATGGCCTCACTCCACCCTACATCTGTGACCTCCTAACCCCCTACCCTGAGCCCGTTCCCTCTGCTCAGCCGGCTCTGGCCTGCTTCACATCCCCCGACCCACCCGCCCCACCATTGGTGGGAGAGCCTTTAGCCACTCTGCCCCCAGGCTCTGGAATTCCATCCCCCAGTCATCCGCCTCACCCCCTCCTTAAAGTCCCGCCTCAAGACCCTCCTATTCGACTGTGCCATCGGCCACTCCCCTCCCTTACCCCCCCAACCCCAGCTTGGGTCTGAAAAAACAGCTGTGCAGGAAAAATGGGCCAAATGGCCTCTGGAAAATAATCTACAATATTTAGGTTTTCTTGCTGATGTTCAGTTTTTCATTGGTCTTCATGGTCACTTTTATTCATTTTCATAAGGTTTATTGGAGGAATGTACAATTTGCAGACTAAAATAGTTTTTAATTTGTTGTCTTTTGTTTGTATTGCTTTGTTATTTTCTTTGGATTCATGCATCTTATTTTAAATAAGCCTTTCATTTTATTATTTTCTGAAATTCTTACTATCTTACTCTTGTCCATCTACTTCATGATTTATTTTTATTTTGCTTAATTTCCTATAATCACAAAGCCTTATTTCAGCTTTCTATCTTTCATTTCCATCTAACATGTTCCCAATTCAGTCTGACTCTGTTCCCTAGTTATCTTCTAGGAGCAAAGAAACTCTGCAACACTCTTCCTCTATCCCTCCACCTTGCCCTTCCTTCCCCATCTTCAGATCGCGCCTGAAGACCTTCCTCTTTGATCATGCCTACGGTCACCTACTCCCAGCTCGGCATCGTACTCTACCATTGTTAAGCGTTCTGGGATCCTGCCCTGCGACATATCAAGTTGTTGTTGACCATAGATTTTAAAGCACAGAAAGAAGATCATTTGGGTTACCATGTCTAGCTGGTTCTCTGAAAGAGCAATACATTCAGGCCCATTTATCTGCCTTTTCCCCATACTCCTTCAAATTACTCCTGTTTTGATATCTATCTAAAATTCCCTCTTGAAAGCTAATATGGATTCTGTCTTGGCTAACAGAAGAGCTTTCCACTTCCTAATAACTCTGTTAAAACAAATTAATTTCCTTGCTATTCGGTAATTTTAAATTAATGTCCTCTAGTCATTGACTCACCAACCAGAAGGCATAACCAGACCAAACTTATGAAGGCTTCCTGGGGTAACAGCACTGATTTATTTTACTTATGAAGTTATAGTTGTGTATTTTACACATTTTGATTATTTTAGTTCAAATTTAATTAGCAAATAAAGCTCCTTGTTACCTGACACCTGGTTCTTGTATCTTATCGGAAACAACAAGAACAAATTGCATTTGTAGAGTGCCTTTCACGTCGGAAGGATATCCCAAGGCGCTGGACAGTCAAGAGTTTGCACCCAAGCTGGATGTTGGAGTTAAAAGAAGTGGGCGGAGGTGGGAAGATGATCAAAGGCCAGTCATAGAGGAAGATCTTGAGATGGGGCTTGAAGAAGACAAGGGACGAGCGAAGATACTCTGGGATGGAGTTCCAGAGGATGGGGGCAGAACGGCTGAAGGCTTTACCACCGATGGTGGGGTGGACAGGGCAGAGGATATGGAGCAGGCCAGTGCCTGCCGAGCGGAGGGAGCGGGATGGTTGGTAATCAGGGCCAACACAAGCTTTGCACTGAAATGTAGATCTTTTCATAATTAGGTACGTCATACAAGAACAAAAATTCCTACTGTTTAATTGGCATATTATGTGGGTCCAGATGATTTGGAATGAAGCCCAGTCTGATGTTCTCTGGCACTCCATGTTTCATGCAAGAATATTGCTTTCAACTTGATTCCTTTCTTGGAGCAATTGCAGCTTTTACCCTCTGGGAGTCCTTAATGTTACAAATTGGTCTAAAATTGTTGGATACCCATTAAGACAATAAGGACCAATTAACTAGGACCAATGGAAGGGGATCAGGAGGTAGAAAAGCAGGAAGAACTGATTGCAATATATTACATTTTGTAAAGTGCCTTCTGTGTCAGGAGGATGTCCCAAGGTGCTGAACAGAACCGAGGACTCCAGCCCAGGGGTGTTGGGATCAGGGAGGGTGGAGGTCAGAAAGGGTAGGATGGTGGAGGAGGGACTTGAGGCATGCCTTGAAGTAGGTGAGGGAATGAGGTAATGGGAATGTGGGATGGAGTTCCAGAGGGTGGGAGCAGAGAGACTGAAGGCCTGACCGCTGATGGTGGGCCAGGTGGGGGACATGGAGCAGGCCGGAGCCTGCTGAGCAGAGCGAGCGGACAGATTGTTAAGGAGTCAGCAGGTTGGAAAGATAGGAGGGGCAAGGCCATGGATGGCCTTGAAAGTGAGGACAAGGATTTTGATCTTGATCCTCTGAGGGACAGTGGAGCCATATGAAAGGGTTTTTGGTAGGATTGTTTGATTTGTAACTTGTGAGCTGAAAATAAAGAGTTTCATACACATTGAGTGTTGAAAACATAACATTATGTCAGAAGTAAACCTGAACAGATTTGGAAAAGACTAAGAGCTTGAACAGGGACGATAAAAGAAGACAAAATGAATGTTGGAGAAGCAGAGCTGAATGCCATGACAAGATATGTGCAAATACTGCAAACATTGAGGTTAGACATTGAGGTAACAAGACATAATTGGTAAAGATTTGAGTGGGATTTTGAAATATTTGCGTTAGCTTCAAATGTGAAGAAATTGCCACAACTACAGCAGTCGGCTATTTTCCTAAATGAGAAGATGCAAGAGATTACTTTGCAACAACGGAGAAAAATGTGGACATGCCATTAAATGCAATGTTAGAGGTCATGAGGGAAAGATGTTGTGGTCATAATACTGTCCAGAACAAATTATCTTCTCTTCTAGAATTTGGAACAAGGAAGTAAGGGCCTATGGAATAATTTCATCAATACTGTGCGGTATTAAGATCGCTAAGTAAAATGTGTAATTATGGAACTTTAAGAAATGATCAGAGACCAAATTGTAATAGGATTGAAAGATAATAAAATATGCAGCAAGCTCTTGAAAGAGGAGACTTTAATGCTCCAAAAAGCTCTGCAAATAGTTGGTATTGAAGAAATGTCCAAAGCGCCTGAGGGACATTGATAGAAATGCAGAACAAAAGATGGAAATTGATGAATTAGCTCAAAGAAGCTGGGATAATTCAGATAAGGAATATGGAGTACGGAGGATAAATTTGCCTAAAAGAAAAACAAATGTCGAGGAAACGTGAGAAGTGCGGATTAATGCATCCTTTTCGGAGATGTTCAGCGGAAGGAAGAGTGTTATATGTGTCATTGGTATGGGCATTACGCAATGGACAAAGAGAACCCGTAAGGAGCTATGGTAGAGGAAAACAAGAGAAAAGGCATATAGGACAAAATGAGTACAGAAGGCCAAATAAGCCACAGAGAACTAGAGCAAATAAGATGAAGGCAATATGAAATAAGGGACAATTCTGATATGGAATCCAGAGTGACTGAACTAGAAGGGATTGAGGGAGATTGTTCCAGAGCTTCGGGGCGTAGTGGCTGAAAGCGTGACCTTAGATGGTGGGGCAGTTGGTGCGAGGGACGAGCAGGAGGCCGGTGCCAGTTGAGTGGAGGTGCTGGGTGGTAGACTGGGGAGTGAAAAGCTACTTTTCCTTAATCTCTTTTCTTTTAGGACGTCCTCCCGACGTGAAAGGCGATATACAAATGGAATTTTGTTGTTCTGTATGAAGGAATATTTCTCCACATACTGTATCACAAAATGTTATGGTTAGTTTTAGAATGTCATAAATATAAAATATTTAACATCTTGGGTGAGAAATTAAATTGAGGTTCCTTTAGTCTATTCAGGTGGATCATATTGCACAATTCTAGAGAAGAGAATTTCTTCTGGTATCCAGGCCAACAATCCACCAGATAAAATTAGTCATTGCTGAGTGCAAATTGGCTGCTATTGTTCACCTACAACAACAACAACAACAACAAGATTCCATTTATAAAGCGCCTTTCACGTCAGGAGGACGTCCCAAGGCGCTGCACAGTTGGGTCATGACCCGAGCAGGGGGGAAATGGTCAGGGTGAGGGGAGGGAAGGGAGGGAGCGAGGAGGGGGAAATGGTCAGGGTGAGGGAAGGGAAGGAGCAAGGAGGGGGAAATGGTCAGGGGGAGGGAAGGGAGGGAGCGAGGAGGGGGAAGAGAGTCGAGAGGGGAGCTGAAGGCACGGTCAAAGATACAGTCACTACATTTCCCAATAAATCCTGTGAAAAGCTAACTTCTCAAAAACTGTAATATCTTATGCAACATTTAAATAATGGATGACTGCACAACCGTGTTTATATTGACATAAAATCAAGTGTCAATTTTGGATCCCACAGTTTCATAACCCCCATATTACCAATCATTCTATGCACTAATTAGAAAAAGAAATCTGGTACTGTAATCTCAATTTCTCTGCTTACATTTTTTAGTTATAAATATTTCATCTGAAGTATTCCTTCGTTTCTTTGAAGCTGAAACCTGATTCAACAATGAAAGACAGAAAGGTGAATTACATGTCATGAATTACATTAGATGCATCTAAACATGACACTCAATAGATTATTTTAACTAAGAGCACTCAAATAATTTTGGAAATCTAATCAAACTAAAATAGGCAGCCTTATTACAACCATGTTTCTGACCCATTCACATACATTCAAATGTTTATTATAAAGAAACCTAAAACCTGAAATAACTGGATTTTGTTAAATATTTGTTCATTAAGAATACATAAGGATAATGCCTGGAATGAGGGAAGGGAAAGCCATTCAGCTTATTAAGCGCTCCGAGACGCCAACTGGCGTGAAGGGCACTATATAAATGCAAGTTGTTGTTGTTAAGCTTACTGTGCATTTATATAGCACCATTCAGGTAATATAAGGTGACATGCCTGGCAACGGAATGTCGGAATCGAGCCAGCCCTCAGTGTGATCTTGGTAGTCCGGTTCCTGAGCCAGGCGGGCCTCACAGTATTCCAGGGCACTGCTGAGGACTGCACAGCCAGCCTGGCTCATCAGCAGGACCTGGAAGGGCAGACCAGTCACTGGGGGTAGGGAGTCATCCCACTCAGCTTCTGTTAACCCTGCAAGCCAAACACCCAACGGGTAGGGTGGTCCTAGCTGGACAAACATCGGGAAAGCTTGCCAGACAGCAATATCAATGGCAAGCTATGCGGTTTTAGATGGTTAGCATCCAACAATATCCTAACTCACACTCTGGGTTCCCCAAGCCTATCTTTGTATTTCCATGTGTAGGTGGGATGCATGGATATCTCAGCTTGGTTGGATACTCTTAAGCATGGTTATGGGTTTCATCATGTATCCGACACCCAGCTGACCAAAACAAAGTTATATAACATTTTGAAGTGTTCAACAGTGTGGGCATGAAGTATAAGTTAGGGAAATTTAAAAGGTCACAAAATCACAAAAAAAGGTTTAGATAAAGATCCTTTACCTATTTGATCTTATTCTTACAGAAGATCAACCCCATTATAGCAAGAAACTATTTCTTAAAAGATTCTAGGTTCCTAGCCTCTATCAGCTTTCCTTGTAACAGGTTCCAGCTGTTGATTCCCTTCTATTTAAAGAAATGCTACCAAATTTGCTGGTTGTACTAACCATATGTAAACAAACACATGTGTACAGATTGAATTACAGGTATTATATAAATACCAATATGAAGAGAATTACAGAATTACTTTTTAGTGATTCATTACATCATCTTTTTTAAAAAAATGTAATTTTCAAGAATTGTGCTATCCTGTGCTTCTTTTAAGTATAGGTCCACAATACACTCATACTTTTTGCAAAAACAGTTCTCTATCAAAAGACAGTATAATAAAATTCCTCTTGCTAATAAGTGAAACACTTTCAAAGATTCAAAGTTTTCATTCCAAATGTACTTAGTCAGTCGCTATAATTAATGATAAGGAGAATTACAACCCTTCATCCCTTCACTCTAGGCTGGATTCAAATCCAGTTCCAGATACAAGGACAGTGATCAATACCTAATTTCCCTTTGTGTCTTGATAACTCCCATTATGCTCCAATTACATAGAAGAATTTTGTCAAGATTAACGTTTTGTTAATAAAAACGTTTTATTATAAACATACTAGCATATTATAGGAATTGTCATGTATTTTTATGCATTTGCTTTTTGCCTACCTCAGAAAAAGTCAGCTCCTGAGATGATGCACAAGATGTTTCGTTATGGTCACAACTGTTGAATCACAAAATTATATTATGTATTGTCATTGAATAGAAAACATAATTCTCAACATCTGAGTAACTCATTAAATACTTAAGCTCTTTGAGGATTACACTTACTTAAATGTGTCTATATTCAATTGCTTAACATTTCCAGTATTACTCTTCTTTTGATGTTCCTCATATGTTACTCCTACATGGAAAAAGTACATTTTAAAATCTATTACATTTAGCAAAATATTCAAAGTACAGTAAAGCACAATGAATAAATAACTAGATTGGCAAATTATTCCTACAATAAAATATCCAGTAATACAGTATTACTGATAAGTAATATCTCCTCTATAAAGGCTATCTTAGAGAAAATGGTACTGAAAGTGGAATGAAAAGCATACATTGTATAGATTGTAATTTATCTGTAAGTTATCAACTTATTGTAACATTGGAGGGAGTGTAACATATACAGTGGAAGCCACTTTAGCCGCCCACCAGTTAACCAAGGACACCGGGTAAATAGGACAAAATGGCTGCCCCCTATTCATTTGTATTCTCACCTGTTTTAAATATACTGGTTAATTCGGACAAAAATCTGGTTAATCTTGACTAAATGCCAGGTTGGTCACCATTGCATCTCCTCACTCTGTGTCTTAAGCAGCTCCATTCAGCCACGAGCAGCTTTGGGAGTGATTGACAACGAACTCCAGCCATTCACAAGTGGTTCTGGGCTATCAATCAGTGAGAGGGGTGGAGGGGCAGGGAAGAAACAAGGGAGGGAATGGGAGGAGTCAAATCACAATTGATTGACAGCTGAGCTGCTCATGAATGGGTGGAGCCCAAACATTCACGAGCGGATTCAGGCTGTCAATCACTTTGGAGCTGACGCTAATTGATCTCCTTCTCGTCCAATGAAAATGCAATGGGAGGGAGAAAGTGCCCGCACCGCTCCTCTACTGGGCAGGAAGAAATAAGGGAACTCCGATCAACTTCGGATGCCGCTTAAGCCGGACAAAACAGCTCGCCCCGATGTGTCTGGCTTAAGCAGATTCCACTGTATTTACAAGAATGTTACCAAGGATGAGTACAGACCCCTGCCAAGAAAGATTAGGCAGGTTAGAGCTTTTCTCTCTGGAGATGAGATGTTTGAGAAGAAATATTTCAATAAGGTAGTTAAAAGGCTTTGATAAGGTGGGTTTTAATAGACTGTTTATCCATACATGAAAGAGAATGGAATTGAGGAATTTAGCAGAGGGAATTCAGACAGGTAGAAGCTCATGTGGTGTATCTTTGTTTTCCCTGCTTGCCCCGCTGCCCTGCACCCTCCCCGATCCCAACCCCCAGCTCGGGTCCAAACCTCTGTCTGTCCAGCCCCTTGGGACGTCCTCCAGACGTGAAAGGCGCTATACAAATGTTATTTTGTTGTTGTTGTTAAACACAGGCCAAAAAACCTACTTCCATCCTCTCACCATAAGTAGTGGTGAGGTGGCAATCAACACCAATACTACAATTGATACTCCTGCCAAACAACAACAAAATTACATTTATAGAGCGCCTTTCACATCGGGAAGACGTCCCAAAGCGCTGGATAGTCAGGGGTCGGGACCCGAGGAGGGGGAGGAGTGGGGTAGGGGTGAGGTAAGGGAGAAAGGTGGGAGGGCGACCGAAGGCACGATTGAAAAGGGTCTTGAGACCGGCCTTGAAGGAGGCAAGGGAGGAAGCGGGGCAAAGAGACTGTGGGATGGAGTTCCAGAGTGTGGTGGCAGAGAGGCTGAAAGCCCGGCCACCAATGGTAGGGTGAGTCGGTCGAGAGACATGGGGCAGACCGGGGCCCACTGAACGGAGGGAGCGGGCAGTTGGTAGGCAATCAGGTCAGAGAGGTAGGAGGAGACAGGGCCATGGATGCCCTTGAAAGTGAGGACGGGAATCTTGAATTCGATCCTCTTAGGGATGGGGAGCCAGTGCAGTCGGATGAGGGTGCGAGTGATGGAGTCACGGAGCCTGGTGCGCGAGAGTACATGAGCTGCAGAGTTTTGGATGATTTGCAGCTTGTGAAGGGAAGAGTTGGGAAGGCCGATGAGGAGGGAGTTTCTGTAATCGAGTGTTGATGCGATGAATGCGTGGGTGAGGGTTTCGGCAGCCTGAGGGATGAGGCAATGGCAGAGTCTGGCAATGTTGCGGAGGTGGTAGGCAGTGCCGGTCATGGGGCATGTGGGGGAGAAAGGACAGTTCAGGGTCAAACAAGAGACCAGATTTCTGACTGGCTTAGTGAGGTTGAGTGTGCAGCCGTGGATGCCGAGGTGCGGAGGTGCTGGCGTGAGCCAATCAGGAGGGCCTCGGTCTTGCTGACGTTGAGTTGGAGAAAGTTGTCCCTCATCCAGGACTTGATGTCGGACAGGCAGTCGGTCAGGACGCCATTAATCCTGGAGTTGAGGGTGGAGGCAGAGAGATAGAGTTGGGTGTCATCCGCATACATGCGGAAATTTATCCCATGTCTGTGGATGATAATAATAATTTGATATAGCGCTTTTCATGTCGGGAGGACATCCCAAAGCGCTTCACAGAACACACTGTAAAGTGAATTGACTGTATATTTGTGGGCAAACGCAGCAGCCAATTACGCACAGCAATGTCCCACAAACAGTCGTAGATTGAAAATGACCAATTTATTATTGTTTGGGGTTTTGGAGGGATTATTATTAGGTGTGTGGAGTAAGGAAACTTGCCCAAGGTTTCGCCCTGCTGGAATTGAACTCGGGTCTCTCACTTGCATTCGGCAGCCCGCACCTGGCCCTGCTGTGGGCAGCACGGAAACCCGATTGGAGGGGTTCATAGAGGGAGTGGGAGGAGAGGAAAGAGCGGACCTGGGAGGCAAAGGCTCTCTCAAGGAACTTGGACAGGAAAGGGAGGTAGCTGGATAGCTATGATGGGTCAAGGGAAGGTTTCTTCAAGGTGGGGGTGATAGTGGCTGTTTTGAGAGGGTCAGGAACAATGCCAGATGACAGGGAGAGGTTAATGATGTCGGCAAGTAGTGGAGCAAGGAGGTGGAGCTGGGATTTAAGGAGAGGGGTGGGGATGGGGTCCAGGGAGCAGGTGCTGAGCTTCATGGTGGTGAAGACAGAGGAGGGGTGACAGATTCAAAAGTGTGGAAGGAGGGATGGGTAGTTGTCGGAGTGTGGGCGGGGGGTAGGGAAGGGGTGGAAGTTGGGAGGGCAGTGGCAGCTGAGCGGATTCCCTCGATTTTGGACTCGAGGAAGTCCAGCATTTTCTTGCAGTGGGAGTCAGAGGAAAGAATCTGCGAGGTGTGGCGGGCAGAGGAGCCAGTTGACAGTGGAGAGCAGGAGCCTGGGGTTGCCCTTCGCCTCCAGGATTAACCTGGAATAGAAGAACTATTTAGCCGAGGCGAGAGCGGAGAGGTAGGTTTTGATGAGGTCCAGCCAGATGTGCCGGTGGACAGTTAGGTCATATTTGAGCCAGGAGCATTCAGCAGCCCGCACCTGGCCCTTAAGCGAGGGGAGGTGGCTGGTGAACAGGGTGAGGATCGGGAATAGGAGGCAGTTCGGGAGGTGAGGGGGGCAAAGACATTGAGTGTGGTGGAGAGGGTGCTGTGGAGAAGAGTAAGCGCAGTGAATGGGTTGTTGCGAGAGGTGGGCCAGAGGGGGAGGAGTTCAGAGGACTCCAGGGCAGCGGAGAGGGATTGTGGGGATATCTTTTTCCATGGACGATAGAAAATGGTGATAGGTTTGGAGGCAGTGGGGAGAGGGATATGAGAGTTGAGGGAGATGAAATGGTGGTCAGAGATGACCTTGTCAGTGATGATGACATCTGAGATTCTGAGGCCCCAGGTGATCACTAGATCGAGCGGGTGGCCATGAACATGGGTAGCAGAGTGGATGTGGAGGGAGAGGTTGAGAGAGGAGAGAAGTTTGAGGAGGTAGAGCAGGAGGGGGTGAAGTGGAGGTTGAAGTCGCCTAGGATGATGAGGCGGTCGGAGCAGAGACAGAGGGAAGCTAGGGTGGAGATGTCAGAGTTAAAGGTGGGGGAGGATTTTGGGGGGCGGTAAATTAGGATTTTTAGAGAGAGGTGGGAGGGATGGCAGAGGGTAAGGTGTTCAAAAGAGGGGAATAGAGGGATAGGGCAAGTGATGCCCTGGCTATGAGGGCCGCCACGGCAGTTGGGACGGGGGGCATGGTGGTAGGTGTAGTCGGGTGGTGTGGAGGGACACACAACAAGGAGGGATAGATGACTATATTGGATCAATAGGAAACCTAGGACATTATTGCCAGTTTTAGTGCAAATATACCAGTTCACAAGTATATTTTTGGACAAGTGCTTATTATAACAACATTGGCAGATATTCTATTATTATATAATTCCATACACACAATATCTCTATTGATAATAATGCATTTGAATTAGCACTATAGCATTTGATACAACACTGAAAAGTCTTAAAGTACTACATAGTTAATTGCTTTCAAATATAGAGACCATATGTTTATAACCAAGATCTTTCAAACAGCGCTCATTAATTTATCTGGAGGACTATTGACAAGACACCAGGTGAAACTCTTTTATCGAATAGAACTTTAACATTCACCTGAACACGCAAATCAGCAAGAGAGCCTTCAGTCACTTTGCCCCCATTGTCTGGAAGTATCTTGCAAAATCCTTCCACCTCGCTCCCCTCCTTCGCTTTCGAAACCCATCTAAAAAACTGCTGCCTCCTGTTGCCACCTACCCACCTATTTCTCACCCAACTCTGGCTTATTCCTTTTTTGTAAAAGGTTTTGAGATGTTCTCATACAATCAGACAGCACAGAAAGAGGCCATTCGGCCCATTGTGTCTGCGCCGGCTCCGAAAAGAGCAATCCAACTCAATCCCACTGGCCCGCTTTCTCTCCGTAGCTCTGCAATTCTGTTCTCCCAAAATACCCATCTACTTCTCTCTTAAAAATTGTTATTGAATCGGCTTCCACTACCCTTTCAAGTAATGCATTCCAGATCGGAACAACTCGCTGGGTGAAATTTTTTTTCCTAACCTCCCCTCTGTTTCTTTTGACAACTATCTTAAATCGGTGTCCTCGGGTTACTGACCCACATGACAGCGGAAACAGTTTTTCCTGGTTCAACCTATCAAATTCTCTCATGATCTTGAAAACCTTTATTAAATCTCCTCTTAATATTCTCTGCTCTAGGGAGAATAGCCTAGTTTCGCTAACCTCTCCTCATAACTAAGGTCCTTCATTCCTAGTACCATCCTGGTAAACCTCCTTTGCACCCTCTCCAATGCCCTAACATCTTTCCTAAAGTGTGGTGCCCAGAACTGAACGCAGTACTCCAACTGAGGCCTTACCAGCATTTAGTAAATATTCAACATAACCTCCTGACTTTTGAATTCTATGTCCCTATTTATTCAACCTAGTATTCCGTAAGCTTTTTTAACAGCTTTCCTGCTACCTTCAGAGATTTGTTTATGTGGACCCCCAGGTCTCTCTGTTCATTTGGTCCCTTTAAGATTGTACCATCATTACACTGCCTCTCCTCATTCTTCCTACCAAAATGCAACACTTTGCATTTCTCCACATTAAACCTCATCTGCCACATTTCTGCCCATTTTACCAATCTGTCTAAGTCCTCTTGGAGCCTGGTGCTATCTTCCTCACCATTAACTACTTTTCCTAGCTTAGTATTGTCTGCAAATTTGGAAATTGTGCTCCCTATATCTAGGTCCAGATCATTAATATAGATCAGGAAGAGCAGTGGTCCCAATACCGACCCCTGAGGGACACCACTAACACATCTCCCTCCAGTCAGAAAAACAACCGTTTACTACCACTCAATGCTTTCTGTCTGCTAGCCAGTTCTGGATCCATGTTGCTTTGTGAAAGACGTTATATAAGTGCAACTTGTTGACAATGAGTGATCTTAATACAAATAACTTATTTTTTCACAATACCAACCTGTTCTTCTATTATCCCAGGAATTACACATTTCTTCAAATCCTCTGAAGAAGCAATTGTTTTCCTGAATGTTGAACTCTTCTAAGTCGCTTTCCAGTAATTGCTGATCTCGCAAATTATTTTCACTAAAATGGTGTTTCTGAATCGAATCATTAAAGAAATTGTTTTCTGTTTGTGTGAAAATAATACCATTTTTTCTGAGTGGCACATCACTTTTTGTATTTATAAATGAAGTATCATATATATCCCTTGTTTTACAGGAGTTTTCCATTTCAAAATAATTTTCAGCTGGACCTGTATGTTCACAGATACGTTTTTCCTGACCTATGTAAGTGGTTAACAGTTGGGTATTTTCTGGATTAAAGCATTGAGACAAAGGGAATTCTCTGCTAAAGAAAGCCATGTTCTGATTCATGGTTGAAACTTGTGCTGTAGTTTTCTTAGTCACAGGGAACATATCTTCTTCAGCAAAAGTGATGGGATCTTTTTCTTTGCTATTGTTTAAATGATCACATATATCTTGGAGGCTGGCATTATTCATCAAGGAATTTTGCAGCAACCTTAAAATGAAGATAAATGAAAAGTATTTAACTTATTTTTAGGTAAACATCAAATACTGGCAGTTACTTTGATCACAATATCAAGCTGTTTTTTAAAAAAACTCAACCACCTAGACTCAACCACCTAGCAATTTTCTCCAATTGTTAATTGCCCTCCGGGAAAAGAAAGGCTTCCTGTCTAACCTGAAATTGCCCTTTGCAACACTTTTATTTTGCTCAGACTAGTGTCTGACATATGTGAAAACCCATCTCCATGCTTAAAAGTATCCGACCAGAGTTCCATGCATCCCACTTATACATGGAAATTCAGGAGATGTTTGGAATGGAATGCACACTCTTTCCTTGAAGAGACACATCCTCTTTACCTAATTCCAAAGAATATTACAATACAATATTACTTTTGTATAGCGCCTTTCTCGTCGGGAGGATGTCCCAAAGCGCTGGGCAGTCAGAGTTTTGGACCTGAGCAGGGGTGAGGGGCACTGGGGTAAGAGAGGGTGGAGGGCAGGGAAGGTGACCGAAGCCACGGTCGAAGAGGAGGGTCTTGAGACGTGCCTTGAAGGAGGCAAGGGAACTGGACTACCATGCAGGGTTAGCTCGATTCTGATATTCCACTGCCAAACATGTCACCTTGGAGCCAGTTCAGCTCCAGAGAAATCCCGTTAACCCTCACGGATAGTCAACCTTTATCTTAGATTTAGGGTTAGTTGCAACTTTGAACCTGTCTTTTTAATTAGACATAGCTATAACAATTAGAGAGGGAGTAGTTGTGCGTAAACATATTGGATTTTTGCAATTGTATTTATCTTTATATTTGCCCTTCAACTGTCAACTTCATCTTCACATTTACTTCTGCTTAGTTGCAATAATTTTGCAAACTGGCATAAAATCATAATTAGAAGTTTAGCACACACAAGCTAATTATGCTCCTGGAAGTTTCAGTAACCTTTGGAATGCAATGTTATATACATTGATAAAAGTGTTATAATTGGTGATTGAACTTAATTTTCACAATATTTGTGCCAAATAATAAAAATGTGAAAAGAGCTGCATTGTGTGACCAGAGATGCAATTTCAACAATGTTCAGTATCCTTTCATTTATAGTACATCATCTTCTACATTCCATACAGTGGATACCAACCAGTGAATATTCAATTCTGAACTACAAAATCCTGAACTCCTTGGGCAATTGTGTTATTCAGTTTCATCAATAGTTGGACAACGTGGAGTGAGAGAATGATTCAAGCCCCACAGGACTTTGAATTCACAAGTCTAGGTTGACACTACAATGCAGTGCTGGAATGTGTTGCATTGTTGGAGGTAGCTTCCTTTGGATGAGATATTAAACTAAGGTCCCACCTGTTGGGTCAATTGGATGTTAAAGATCCCATGGCACTGTTCAAAAAGAGTTTCTCCCAGTGTTCTGGCCAACAATCCACTGAATAAAATTGGTTGCTCACTTCATGGTTGTTTGTGGGACTTTGTTGTGTGCAACATGGCTACTACGTTTCCTTACAGAGGACAGTCATTGCACTTTACAGTAAATCCTGTAGATGTTTCAGACATCTTCCTGAAGTGAAAGTAACTATATAAAATGTAAGTATTATTATTAAATACCACAATCTGGTCCAATTAGCATCAGTTGCTCTGTTTTAGTGATATTATATAAACATACAAATAGTAATACCTGAGAAGATAATTTTGTTTTTTTAAAGTAAATTGTGTAAGTGTTATTGTGTGTCGGCCTGGTGCAGTGATAGCACTCTTGCCTCCGACTCAGAAAGGTTGTGGGATCAAAATCCACGTCAGGACTTAGAATCCCATAGTATTGGCTGACACTCCCATGGGGGGGATGTTGCATTGTGAGAGGTGCCGTCCTTTGGATGAAACGTTAAACCAAGGTCGCATCTGCCTGTTCAGGTGGATGTTAAAGATTCTACAGTGCTGTTTGAAAAGAGCAGGGAGTTTCTTCCGGTGTCCTGGTCAACAATCCCCCAAATAAAATTGGTCACTCACTCTGTGACTGTTTCCTGTGCGCAACTGGCTGCCGCGTTTCACAAAATGCAGTAATCCACTTTACAGTATGTCTTGTGAAGCACTTTGAGATGTCTAAACGACGTGATAAGGGGCTATATCAAATGCATTGGATTATTTTTTTTAAAATACAACACCAATTTAGTAAAACTGTAAAATCCATTAGCTGCAAAAGAAAGCATTTGCATTTTGCAGCATCTTATCAGACTGAAACTTCTCAAGCATTTCACATAAAAGTACTGCCAAGTATAAAATGATTGCTTTTGTAAGCAAACATGTAAGCTTTTGTATGTTTTTGTAGGACTTTTTGTAACCTTTTGTGGCAGCCATTTGCACCAGCAAGATTGCAAAAATAGTAGAAACCAATTAATCTGGAGAACTGTTAAATTAGGGCAATGGGAAAAACTCAATTTTGGTGAATAATGTCACAGAATCCACCTGAAAAACAAACTGAAGGAGCCATGGTTTATTTGAAGAACAAATAATTACATCACATAGATTAAATATTACACATTGACTCCTACCTGCCTTTTGAATGTTCAGTTAAATTCCTGCATTCTGATACAATCTCTTCTTCATCAGCATGATTCAACATAGGCTCATTCACCAGAGGCAGTTCATTTGGTACAAGAAAAGCTGGCTATAAATTTCAGAAAATATACAGCAAATGAAGTTAAAACTCTTATTGACAAAAATATCTATAATTTCTGACATTGTATTACAACACTGGGAATTTGATTCAGGAAGCCTATACACACACACATTTCTACATTCATACCTACATTTGTTTCATCCTCAAAATCTCCAGCATATATCTATTCTACACACAATATGTCTAAGCTACTTATTTTACTGACTGTGGACAAAATGAAGACCATCCCTCCCTCACTTTTGTCCCTCAAGTCACACTTTTTAACTCCAAACCTGCCAAACCACTAAATAGTTCTGAAAGTATCGTTGTGCTTTCGTACCTAATCATTTAACCGTTTGATAATTCTAGTTCAGTACTGCTCCCTCTCAAGTTAAAAATGTAAAAAGAGTGCTCTTAGGAGATAAGACTATTCTGATATCCCTAGAATTCAGGAAAGTTTTTATTGCAACTTTGGGAAGGGATAAAGAGGGAGATGCATTATCTGGTGTATTGTTCATGAATTGAAGACCAGAAACGAATGGAATAAATGGGGAATGAAGAGACAAATAGAGGTGGAAGTTTCTCTGCAAGTATTGCCTATTGTTAAATGCTATGTTATTGAAGCAAAGTCTAGATCCAAGTGGAATTTCTAAAAACATTTTAAAATGGTTGGACCGAGGAATTGAAATTTCTTGAACCGCTATCTCTCTAATACATTTTACTGCAATAAATTCAGTAATGTAGGTATGTGGAGTGGGAAGCCAGTTTATATTTTCTGCTTCACATCACTTCAATTAGGGGTTGACAAAAACAGTAGGACAATGAAATTGCAAATTTGTTATTAACTTGATTAAAGAGCTAGTTGTGTGATCTTCAATGCTTAAAATGAGTCTGTTTGAAGTTCCCATTGTGTCAATAAACTTGCCAATTAAGAGTCAGTCCAGCTCAGTTGATGACAGTATTCTTGCCTATGAAGCAGAAGATTATGGGTTCAAGCTCCACATTAGGATTTTAACTCAGTTTAGTCTGATATTCCAAAGTAGTGCTGGGGATGGGTGGGGTTGCATTGCCAGAGCTGGAGTCCTTCCGGTGAGACATAAACCTGTTCTGTTTGTTTGTTAAGGTGAGCTTTAAAGCATGGCACGACTCGAAAAGAGAAGGGAGTTTCTCTGTGTTCTCTCCACCAATTCCCCAAATAAAATAGGTCATTAGTTTCACGGCTGTTTGTGGGACATTGCTGTGTGTAAATTAGTCGCCACATTTGCAGTGACTCAACTTTATAATAAGTCCTTTGAAACACTTTGTAATGTCCTCCCAACATGAAAGGCAACACACCAAATGCAAGGATTATTATTATAATTGAACAAACTTTGGGGATTGAGTCCAATGCAATTTACAGAGAGAGCCAGAATCTATTTGATTTTAGTTCATGTGTCTTAACTCCAATTTATAATGTGCCTTTCACAGTGACATTTACCAAGCAAAGTACTGTATGAACAGAATAAGAGTTAACTGTTTACCTATTATTTGATTTAATAATAGGTTAATCGAAATATTGCTTAACTGAACTAGCTAACTATTTTTTCTTAAAATGGGTAACTACCATGGTCATAGATAATAGATTGTGAACTACTAATGTAATTACCTACGTTTAGGTAATTCTGTAATTTGCGACTGTATTATACAAAGATTCTTTTATATAAAGATTTTATAATATCTTTGGGTTTTTTTCATGTTACGTGTTGATTTATAAAAAGTAATTAAATGCATTCTAATAGTAAATGCTTTCAGTACTGAGAATAAAAACAGTTAACAACAAATAAACCATTAAATATATTTGTCCACAGACCTGTAACTCTTTATTGTCAAACGATAAGTCCCAGGCAATTCCTTCTCTTGGGTTTTGTTGTAAAGGGTAACATTTAGCAGTCGACCATGCATCTGAATATTGATAAACACTGAATCTATCCTTCGAAGAACATGAATCATCTTTCATATTATACTCCAAAGAACTTGAATCCATCACTGGAGAAAGCTAGGTATAAATAACAAAATGTAAATGATCTTAGCAAAGTATCAATTAAAAATTAATAAAAATAAAAGATTATGTAATTTATAAGATAATCAATAATAAACAATTAGTTACATGACTATAATAAATAGTGAGAAGGGAACTTACATGCATCAGGTTAGCTTGGCTCTATCAACATCACTCTTGTCTCTGGGTCAGAAGGAATGTGAGTTAAAGCCCCACACTGGGATTTGAGATCATAATCTTGTCTGACACTGGGGAAATACTGCATTGTTGGAGGTGCTGCTTTTCAAATAAGATGTAAAATTAAGGCACCATCTACTTATTCAGATGGACATTAACTATCCCATTACTGTGTGACTGAGGGGCTCAACTACTTCTTGAAGCCCAGCAATGAGGGGGAAGTGGCTGTTGCTCTTGATCCTCAAAAATGGAGCACCTCCCGACACATCCCTTTTATGGCTTCACTGGCAAGATGTGTTAACGAGTTGCCATTCATATTTAGGCCTCTCCCCCTTTCTCCAGTATAATGTGTCAGCCAGTTTACCAACTGTCATGGCATTCTTATACAGGCAAAGAAAAGGGTTACTCTCCAATTAACTTCCCAGCAACGAGACATAAACTTTCAGCTGTTATATTAAACCAGCATAGAGTCAATAGAAAGTAAGCAAATAAAATATTCTTTTCATTCAACTTAAAGAACTTCCAGTGCATCTACCCAAATTTAGAATAATAAGCCTTGCATTTGATATAGCGCCTTATCACGTCGTTAAGATAATAATAGTAATAATCCTTGCATTTGATATAGCGCTTTTCACGTCTTCTAGACGTCTCAAAGCACTTCACAGAATATGCTGTAAAGTGAATTGACCGTATATTTGTGGGAAAAATATGAAAACCAATTGCACACAGCAGTGTCCCAGAACAGTCATGGATTGGGCAACCAAATTATTTATTTATTATTATTATCTGTGAAAGGATTATTACCCTCAGAAAATGAATCATCAATCAACTAACAAACGGGTTCCTATTTACTGCTAGGTAAAGAGAGGCCTGTGAAGTAAGGAAACTTTCCTAAAATTTCACCCCACCTAGGAACCAAACCTGGGCCCTCTTGCTTCCAAGTGAGTGTTCTAACTACTACATTATGATGTTGCAGTGTCAACCACTCAAGCTCCACACTGGATGAATTATCATGCCTATGTCTATTATCACAGACATGATATTATCCTATTGCCTATTATCATGCCTATGCAGCACACTATCAAGCTAAGATGAGATATCTTATGTGCAGTGAACCAAAAGTGAACTTTCATTTGCCATGAGTGTGTCATGCAAGTTTCATGACCAGATTAATATCACTATTGCAGCTCTCCAAATCTTATAATAACAATAATAATCCTTGCATTTGATATAGCGCTTTTCACATCGGGAGGACGTCCCAAAGCGCTTCACAGAATATACTGTAAAGTGAATTGACTGTATATTTGTGGGCGAACGCGGCAGCCAATTGCGCACAGCAGTGTCCCACAAACAGTCATGGATTGAAAATGACCAATTTATTATTGTTTTTGGAGGGATTATTATTAGGCAATTGGAGTAAGGAAACTTGCCCAAGGTTTCGCCCTGACCTGCCTGGAAGTGAACTCAGGTCTCTCACTTGCAAAGCGAGTGCTCTAACCACTGAGCTACAGGACTCCACAATTTTCCAAGAACTGATGCCTAAAATATTGGATAATGTGTGAGTACTAAGTATAAAGTTCCTTCTTCCAAGCTACAAGCAATTGAAACAAGCAATCTATTATTCATAAGAAACTGTTACTTTTGTAGAGAAAAAATGTATACAAAGCTGCACAATTTGCAGACTTCGCCCAGACTATTGTACATTCATAAAGTAGCTATTTAAGGTATCAATGAAAGCTTTTCCCACTACAACAAATTACACTTTTTGACAAAAGGCAATCTAATTTCAGACATTTATTTGTAAAAATATTGCACATTTACATTCAAAATTAGAGAATAAACACTTGAAGTGCCTCCCTGAGTTATTCTAAGGATGTTCAAAATGCATTTCTCCACGCATAAATGGGAAGCATAGGGAGAAAGAGGTTGAAATTAGCTTGAGTCAGCTTGGCGACATTCATGAAACTTCAAACAGCTGAGAACTACCAAGGTCAAAATGAACATAATTTTACAGTTTTCTCCAGATACAACTACATTGTATCTACAGTTAAACTACCTTGTAGCAGAGTAAAAAGAAATCTCACATTTGCAAAGGATTGAAGTATGGTGAACAGCTCAAAAGAATATCAATAAAAAAGTGTCTGGAAATTAGAAAGAATAATTGNAAAAAACATGTTTAATCTTCATTGAATATTGGTTATTTTGTATCACGTAAGTGACATACACGTAGAGGCGATTTATTTGCAGAATACATTTCAATCAATTTCTCAGAAAATGGCTACCAGATCAGTGGCATCCATTTGTATATCCCTTAAGAATCCTTAGGATCTATCAGTATATCTTGACATTTTGGGATCTTGAGCAAACACTTAAACAGGCAGATGGGAGTTCAGTGTTCAAAAGTTCAGCTGTCTCAATCAAAAGGCAGCACCTCCAACAATTCTTCCCCTCAGAAAGAATGAATTGTCAGCCTACATTAAGAGTTGAAATCCTGATGTTGAACTCAAACGCATAACCAAATGACCTATAAACTACACTCAAACAATTACAAATGTCATGTTAAGATATCTTACCAATTCAAATTGTGAATCTAAATTGTTCTATTTCATCAAGTGAGTTTTTAAAATAGATACATACCTCCTTATATATTAAGTTTCCGGTATTAGCTAATTGTTTTCCTCGATTGTTCCATCCTTGCTCTTGTGTACTGTCAAGACAATTAAAATATACCATTATTTATATTGTAAAATTATAATTGACAAGCTCCCTCCTGACTCAGTAAATGAATGCACCACATGGCATGCTACTGAGTCACGTGGATCAGGAGGGTCTCAGGTTTAATTCTTGTTCTGTGCCACCTGCTGTTTATTCTAAATTTAGGAATAATGTAGAAAATTCTTTCTTGACCAACTAATATAAGTTGAAAATGATATTAATAGTCAACAAATTATTATCGTGGAGTCCTGTAGCTCAGTGGTTAGAGCACTCGCTTTGCAAGTGAGAGACCTGAGTTCAATTCCAGGCAGAGGGCGAAACCTTGGGCAAGTTTCCTTACTCCACACAGAGCCTAATAATAATCACTCCAAAACCAAAAACAATAATAAATCGGTCATTTTCAATCTACGACTGTTTGTGGGACATTGCTGTGCGCAATTGGCTGCCGCGTTCGCCCACAGCTATACAGTCAATTCACTTTACAGTGTGTTCTGTGAAGCGCTTTGGGCCGTCCTCCCACCGTGAAAAGCGCTTTATCAAACGCAAGTATTATTATTATTATGAAGTACTTTAAGACATTGATGACAGCATTATAAGGTGCTAAATCAAATACAAAATTATTATCATTAGGAAAAAATACACGATAACTCCCGTTATAATGTGGTCATTTCGGTTCAATGTCAATACAACACAAAATACAACATCAATACAATATCTCATGCGTTATAAGCAAAACAACAACAACAAGATTCCATTTATAGAGTGCCTTTCACGTCTGGAGGACGTCCCAAGGCACTGCACAGTTGGGTCAGGACCCGAGCAGGGGGGAAATGGTCAGGGTGAGGGGAGGGAAGGGAGGGAGCGAGGAGGGGGTAGAGAGTCGAGAGAGGAGCTGAAGGCGCGGTCAATGTTAAAGGTCTTAAGACCGGCCTTGAAGGAGGAAAGGGAGGAGGCGGCGAAGGCACTGGGGGATAGAGTTCCAGAGCTTAGGGGCTGAGAGGCTGAAGGCAGACCGGAGCCAGAGGAACGGAGGGTACGGGTAGGTAGGTAGGGGGATAGTAGGTCAGAGAGGTAGGAGGGAGCAAGTCCGTGAATGGCCTTGTAGGTGAGGATGAGGATCTTGAAATCAATCCTCTGGGGGATGGGGAGCCAGTGGAGGGGAGTGAGGGCGGGAGTGATGTGGTCCCGAAGCCTGGTGCGGGACAGTACACGAGCTGCAGAGTTCTGAATGACCTGCAGCTTGTGGAGGGAGGTGCCGGGAAGGCCGGCGAGGAGAGAGTTCCCATAGTCCAGCCTTGAGGTGATAAAGGCGTGGACCAGAGTTTCAGCAGCGTGAGGGGTGAGGTAGTGCCGTAGTCTGGCGACATTCCGAGGTGATGGACGGCAGTGCAAGTTGTGGCGCGGATATGAGGGAGAAAGGACAGCTCAGGATCGAACAGAACCCCAAGGTTCCTGACTGGCTTTGAGAGGTGGAGAGTGCAGCCTTGGATGCTGATGCTGTCAGCGCCTGAGGTGCGGAGGCGCTGACGTGAGCCAATCAGGAGGGCCTCGGTTTTTCGCACGTTGTGCTGAAGAAAGTTGTCTCTCATCCAGGACTCGATGTCGGACAGGCAGCTGTCAGGACATCGGTGGTCGTGGAGTTGAGGGTAGAGGAGGAAAGGTAGAGTTGGGTGTCATCCGCATACATGTGGAAGTTAACCCCATGTCTGCGGATGATGTCACCAAGGGGGAGCATATAGAGGGTGAAGAGGAGGGGACTGAGGACAGAGCCTTGAGGGACACCGCACGAGACAGTGCGGGGGCCGGAGGAAAAACCATTCGAGGAAACAAAGTGAAGACGGTGGGAGAGGTACGACCTAAACCACTCAAGGACACGGCCTTGAAGGTTGAGGTGGGAGGACAAGCGGTGGAGGAGGATAGCATGGTCGACCGTATCGAATGCTGCCGATAGGTCGAGGAGGACGAGGAGGCAGAGGGAGCCCTGGTCACAGATGGTCAGGATGTCATTGGTGACCTTGACCAGGGCAGTTTCTGTGCTATGGGCAGCACGGAAACCTGACTGAAGGGGTTCGAATAGTGAATGGGTGGAGAGGAAAGAGCGCAGCTGGGAGGCGACAACTCGTTCCAGGACCTTGGACAGGAAGGGGAGGTTGGAGATGGGCCGGTAGCTTGATAGCTGCGACGCATCAAGGGAGGGTTTTTTCAAGGTGGGAGTGATGGTGGCAGTTTTTAAGGGAATGGGAACAGAGCCAGAGGAGAGGGACAGGTTGACGATGTCTGTGATATGTGGGGCAAGGAGGTGGAGCTGGGAGATAAGGAGTGGAGTGGGGATGGGGTCAAGGGAGCAGGTGGTGGGTTTCAGGGATAGGATGAGTTTGGTGACAGAGGGTGGGGAAACGGGTACGAAGGTGTGTAGGGGAGGATGGGTAGGAGTCGGAGTGTGGGAGGGAGGGGTGGGGGTGGGTGGATGTTGGAGGGGAAGTGACCGCGGAGCGAATTCCCTTGATTTTGGATTCAAGGAAATCCAGCATCTCCTCGCAGTGAAGGTTGGAGGAGATGACCTGCGCGGGGTGGCGGGGGGGACGGAGGAGTCGGGATGTGGTAGAAAACAGAAGCCTGGGGTTGTTCTTCGCCTCCAGGATTATCCTGGAGTAGAAGGACGATTTGGCCGAGGCTAGAGTGGAGTGGTAGATTTTGAGGAGGTCCAGCCAGATTTGTCGGTGGACCGTTAGGCCAGATTTGATGCAGGTGCATTCAGCAGCCCGCACCTGGCTCTTCAGTGAGCGGAGGTGGTGAACCATAGGGAGGAGCGAGAGTAAGAGACAGTACGGGAGGTGATGGGGGCAAGAGTATCGAGTGTGGAGGAGAGGATGTTGTGGAGGAGGGTGAGAGCAGAAGAGGGGTCGGTGAGGGTTGAGGGCCAGCGGGAGAGGAGTTCAGAGGTTAGGGATTGTGGGGGTAACTTCTTCCAGGGGCGGTAGAAGATGGTGGTGGGTCTGGTGGAGGTGGGGAGGGGGGTGGAGGTGGTGAAGGAGATGAAGTGGTGGTCGGAGACGGCCTTGTCGGTGATAGTGACATCCGAGACCGGGTGATCACCAAGTTGAGTGGGTGGCCGTGACTGTGAGTGGGGGAGTTGATGTGGAGGGAGACGTTGAGCGAGGAGAGCAGGGAAGAGAAATCTGAGGGGATGGAGCAGGAGGGGGTGAAGTGCAGGTTAAAGTCGCCCAGGATAATGAGGCGATCAGAGCAGAGGCAGAGAGATGTAAGAAGTGTCGAAATATCGGAGATAAAGGTGGGAGAGGTTTTAGGGGGCCGATAGAGGAGGAGGATTTTGAGCGAGAGGAAGGAGGGGTGGGAGAGGGTGAGGTGCTCGAAAGGGATAAAAAAGGGATAAAAATTGTGGACTTTGGGTCAGCTCAACGCTCACACAAATGTTTTGCACATTGCATGCAAGCAAGCCATGAGCAGGAAGTGAAGTGAAGGACACATTGTGTAGGAAGTGTTGTTAGCAGTATTAAAGACATCGTTTACTAACTGGACTACAGGCACAGCTCAATAACATTACTGGATTCTATTAAATAACAAAATATACCTGCACTGGCTTTCTTCCAGGAATATCTGAGAGGGTGTAGCACAGGGAGACATTGGTAGCTCAATGTTGTGTCGTCTCATTGGTATTTTTGCATCTTTCATATCTATCTGAACAGTTTTCTTTGACATACCTTCAAAAAAGTTAAAAATGCAAAAAAAAATGTAATCAAAGGTATTCTACTTCTATAAGCAATTAAGAAAGTGGCAGGAATTCATGGTTGTTGTGAATGCCATAAAATACATAGAATCATAGAATTTTTACAGCATGGAAGAAGGTCATTCGGCCCATCGTGCCTGTGGCAGCTGTTTGAAAGTCTTGTCAACTAGTCCTAGTCACCCACTGTTACCCCATAGCCCTGTTAATTCTTCCTTTTTAAGTACCTATCTAAATCCCTTTTCAAAGCTATTATCGAATCTGCTTCCACCACCTTTTCAGGCACTACATCTCAGACCGTAACAACTCTATGAGTTAAAAAAATTGTTTTGTTCTTTTACCAATTATCTTAAATCTGTGTCCTCTGGTTACCGACACACCCGCCAGAGGAAGCAGTTTCTCCTTACCTGCTCTATCAAAACCCCTCATAATTATGAACACCTCTATTAAATCTCCCCTCAAGCTTCTCTGCACTAAGGAGAATAATCCCAGCTTCTCAAGTCTCTCCACATAATTGTGTTCCCTCATTTCTGGTATAATTCTTGTAAATCTTCTCTGCTCCCTCCACTCAGCCGGCTCCAGCCTGCTCCACATCCCCCGACTCACCCGCCCCACCATTGGCAGGAGAGCCTTCAGCCACTCTGCCCCCAACCTCTGGAATTCCATCCCCCAATCACTCCGCCTCACCCCCTCCTTAGCCTCCTTCAAGTCCCGCCTCAAAACCCTACTCTTCGACCATGCCATTGCCCCCCCCCACTTCCCCTCCCTTCTCCCCCTGACCCCAGCTCGGGTCTGAAATGCTGTACACTGTCCAGCGCCTTGGGACGTCCTCCCGACGTGAAAGGCGCTATATAAATGTAATCTTGTTGTGGTTGTTGGATACAATACTCCAGCTGAGGCCTAATAAGCAATTTGTAAACATCCAACATAACCTCCTTGCTTTTATACTCTATACCTTTATTTATAAAGCCAAGGATCCCATATGCTTTTTCAACTGCTTTGTCAACTTGTCCTGCCACCTTCCAAGATTTGTTTTGTTTTGAAAATATATATTTATTTATCAATATATTTGGTACAACAGAAATCCAAAACACACACACGTACAACATCTTCTGTTACATTTATCCCTTTCTCCCCATACGAAACATCCCATTCTTTACTTTACATTCCTTCACCGCACACAAGTGGTGTACATGTTTTTTGGGACACTCCCTTTAAAACAGTAAGGACTTGCTCCTGTGTGCACCCCATCCATGCGCACGCACGAACACACCCTGAAAAGTGTCACTTACCTCTTTCGGAAGGCATCACGATGTACACCTTTGTGTATGAGAACCCCCAGGTCTCTCTGCTCCTGCTTTCTCTTTAAAATTGTACCATTTAGTTTATATTGCCTCTCCTCATTCCTCCTCCCTAACTGCATCACTTCACACTTCTCCCTAGTAATTCCATCTGTCATGTGTCTGCCCATTATATCAGCCTGACTATGTCCTCCTGAGTCTGCCTCTATCCTCCTCACTGTTTACTCCGTTTTGTGTCATCTGCAAACTTTAAAATGTTGCTCTCTATAAGCAAGTCCAGATCATTAATATACATTAAAAAGTGCAGTAGTCCTAATACCGACCTTTGGAGGACACCACTGCATACAACAACAACAAGATTCCATTTATAGAGCGCCTTTCACGTCGGGAGGACGTCCCAAGGCGCTGTACAGTTGGGTCAGGACCCGATCAAGGGGGAAATGGTCAGGGTGAGGGGAGGGAAGGGAGGGAGCGAGGAGGGGGTAGAGAGTCGAGAGGGGAGCTGAAGGCTCGGTCAAAGAGAAAGGTCTTGAGACCGGCCTTGAAGGAGGAAAGGAAGGAAGCGGCGAAGGCACTGGGGGATGGAGTTCCAGAGCCTCGGGGCTGAGAGGCTGAAGGCCCGGCCACCGATGGTAGGGCGGTTGGGGCGGGGGATGTGGAGCAGACCGGAGCCAGAGGAATGGAGGGTACGGGCAGCTAAGTAGGGGGATAGTAGGTCAGAGAGGTAGGAGGGAGCAAGGCCGTGAATGTTTACTGTTATATTACCATAAAATAATTGAGAAAATGATCTCACTGAAGTTCACATTTTAACCACTATTGAATGGAATAAATTATTGATTCAATTCATTCTGTTGCAAGTGAAATAAATCTTTCTTAAGAATTGTATGTAAATCAGCTTCCAAAATTTATACCAAACCTAAGAATTTTCCAGAATTCTGAACAAATATTAAAGCAATGGTCTTTAGGCTAAGACTATGGCAACTTTCGGAAATCTCATTTCTAAAATCTGCATCTCATGTTTCCAAGCAAGAAGCCCACATTTTTCGTAGTCTGGTTTCTATTTGAAACTACTCATACTTCTCTTACCAGTATGTTCCTTGTTTGAAGCTATTCGATCAACAACATGTAGAGTAAGAAGATCCCAGCTGATGGATGAATTCTGTTGAGGTGACAATGGGGGATCTAACCGCTTAATTTTTGATTTAAGTTTCCGCTTCTCAAAAAACTCCTTCAAAAGATTTGAAAGGATTTGAAAGTAGTGAATTAATACAAATCAACAAAATATAAAAACGGTACTCAAAAAGCTGATTTACAGTGACAGGGCAAATACTTTGAGCTGTAAATATCCAAAACATAACTTTTAAATTATGGTTGACCCAATGATGAGAGGGAAGTGCTAAGGGAAGGTAAGATGTTTTGAAAGGGAATAAACTTGATAATCAAATCAAACTAGATAACAATTGTACATGTGCGATCAGTTAGTTAAAGACTAGCCATAAAAAAAATGTTTTTGGTTTAGAAAAACAGTATGTAGTAAAAAACATAAATTAGTGTGAACATAAAACCTTCAAAATTAGGTATATAAAATACCAAAACACTGAAAAAATACAATCTCCAGAAATGTTCTGGTGTGTTGGTTAATGGCAGGCAACAAAAGTTACAATATATAAATTTTGGGAAAGAGAATCTGTTCTCCCTATTTTGGATTAGTAACTTTATGAAATAAAGTCAACTTTATGTCAACACAATCTCCTTACAAAGTCTCATTATGCACCCCTGAAATTTGAAATGCGTTAATTCAATTCCTGCTATTTGATTGAAAGAATACAATTACTGTATATACAATGTATAAAAACATAGGGAAACTCATCGTATCAAAAGATGGTATTCTTTCTCTTCAAATATTTATTCAAAGCATTCCATATCCTGATAACCCTCTGTTTAAAAAGCCTCTTCTAACGTCCCCCTTAACTCTTCAAATAATATTTCTGTTGTTATCCCTCAACACTGATATTGTTGTAGTATACATCTATACACCAATAACATCATGAATTTAAATATTTCCATCAAACAGTGAAAAGTAGATTAAATTGTAAATTTGCAAATTGATCTAGTAATGAAACATATTAACATCTAGAGAAGAATGACCATACTGAAGTTGTGTTTGTGTATTTGTATTTGTGTATTTGTATTTGTGAACCTAATCACAAAAACTGTAATTTTGATCAGTAAAAAACATTAAACTTAAATTATATTTGTAATTATACTTTTTCGGCATTAAAGGCTGTAATAGTAATGCTGATTAAGATTGGTACAACCATTAGTTGATGCTCAATTTTGGAGTATTTTAGTATTCAAAATTATGTCTAATATTTATGCTGTATTGTGGGACATCCCAACCTCCCATCTTAGGGGCCGTCCAAGAACCTACAGGGATTCCAGAAGCAGGCGGTTTCACTCCCTGGGCAGGCCCCAGTGAGGCTGTGCGCAAGCCCAATGGATGCACCCAGTGCGACAAGATGTTCAGCTCCAGACAGAATTACACTAAGTACGTGTTCACTCACATGCTCGTTTACCTAGCAGTGAGTAGAAACCTGATTGTTAGTCGATTGGCGGATTGCTTTCCGGGGGTAATAATCCCTCCATAAAAATTAAAAATAATTTGGTTACTCAATCCATGACTGTTTGTAGGATACTGCTGTGCGCAATTGGCTACCGTGTTTCGCCCACAAAATACAGTAAATCCACTTTACAATATATTCTGTGAAGCGCTTTCAGACATCTCAACAATATGATAAGGCACGATATCAAATGCAAGGATTTTTATTGGACATTGAATTGCTTTAAGCAACTATATTTTTCACTTGGAGCATCTTGTCAAAATGTTTTTATCTTAATTGAATATCTTGCTCAACACTGGAGAGAACAGAAGTTCTATGAGTATCCTCCCGAAGTGAAAGGCAAGTTATAATTACAATTTGTTGTTGTTATGTCCCACGAAAATATTTTATCCTGTCAGTATTTCCTTAAATCTTACCTTTTGTTGCTTTTTCTCTTGCTTCAATTTAATCCTGTTTCTGTTAAAAAGAAAGCTCAATGATAATTTTTGGTGCTTAATTTTGGTACATTGCTCACCTCATCAGAAGGGAGAAACAAATCTGAACTAATACACATTTTTTGATTACTACCAAATGTTCAATGAATATATTGGAATCATAATTATTGAACATAATAAAGGAAATACTTTTGGACATCAGTTTCCATAAAGGTGCTTTATAGATGCAAGCACAAATGTAAGCTGATGCATTTTATCCTTGTTCAGGGTTGATATAGCTGATGTCAGCCAAAGCACAATCTGATCAGTGCCTTGGGATGTCCTCCCGACATGAAAGGCACTTTGCAAATGTAATTTGTTGCTTGTGTCTGTATCCCCAACCAAGGGAGAGTTCCTTCTTCTGAGTGTTATCCAGTGATTCTGCACATATGTAGAGGCAGAAATCCGAACACTCTCATGGTTTTAGCGGTAAGACTAATGTCTTTACATTTAAGACTGGATAGAATTTTGATTTGAAGGTCGTTTTAATGGAGTTCTATATGAAAAGTTCTTAAAAACTATTCAAATTCAAATTAGGACTGAATTTTAGAATTTTTTTAATGTGTACCACTTCACCTGCAACAAAACAAAGTCATTTGTCACGCCAGTTAGGAAACACTTTTTTCCTTTATACCTTTCAGGATCTGCCCTCGCCTCCTCTCCGTTTTGTTTGGTTGACCAGTTGTCTGATACATGAGTTTGTTTAAGAGTACCCAAATCACACAAATAATTGCATATAAGCAAGAAAAATCCCTGCTCACCTAATTCTGAAGAGATTTAAGCACACATTAGCAGATACTGTTTTTTTTTGGTCAGCTGGGTGTCTGATACATGCAGAAACCCATCACCATGCTTAAGAATATGCAAACCAAGCTGAGATTTCCACTCATCCCATCTACACATGGAAATCCCAGAGTTAGATTATTTGAATGAAATGCTCACTCTCTCCCTGGAGGAACACATGCTGCTTACCTAATTCGGGAAAGTATTAGGCGTAGGTTAGCAGGAGCCATAGCATGGGGACCCCAGAGTGGGCGTTAGCGTACTGCTGGAGCCTGACCAGCTAAAAGCATAGCTTGCCATTGAAATTGCTGTCCGGCAAGCTTTCCCATTGCATGTCCAGCTAGGACTACCCCAGCCATTAGGGATGTGGCTTGCAGGGTTAACAGGAGCTGAGTGGGATGACTCTCTACCTCCAGTGACTGGTCTGCAAGTACTGTGCTAAGGTTTGAAGACCCCAGAGTACATATTGGGGACTGCTCAAATTTAACCAGGTAAACCTGCACAGGTTGCCACTGCAGAGAAAAGTCCAGAAGAATGGCATTCAAGTAAAAGTTGTTGGTTCATCAGAAACCCCGATACCCAACCCCATCAACAATTGAGGCAGATGTGTGTGTGTGTCAGCCTGGCTGAGTTGGTAGCACTCTTTCCTCTGAGGCAGAAGTAATAGGTTCAAGCCCCATTTTGGGGACTTTGAATTCACAGTTTGACTCTCGGCTCACACTCCAATGCAGTGCAGGGAGTGAGGTGCATTATTAGAGATGTTAAACCATGGTCCTGTCTGCCTGTTCAGGTGGATGATCCCATGGCGCTATTTAAAAAGGGAGTATCTCTCTCGGTGTTTTGGACAACGATCCCACAAAATCACATTTGCCCACAAAATACACAAAGTCTTGACAGTAAATCCTTTGCAAGGCTTTGAGATGTCCCGACAATGTGATAAGGCACTCTAATAATGCAAAGATTGTTATAAATAAAATTGGTCATGCACTTCATGATTGTTCGTGGGGCATTGCTACGTAAATGGACTGCCTACAAAATACACAGTCACTACACTTAACAATAAATCGTATGAAGCAAGTTGAGAGGGTGAAATATGCTTCACACGTGCAAGAATTACGTCTTCTGGGCAACACCTTTATACCTTCAAAAACCTTCCACCTCCGTGTCCAGGCGTTCAGAGCCACAGAGCACTGTACCTGCCAGACAACATCACCTAATTCCGGGGCAAGTGAGGGCACCACACTCACCTGGAGCCTCCCACCCAGTTCATGATGGCGTTGTCCTCAGCAGACAGCTGGACCCCCGCGGTACCGGACTCCGGCCGCGCAGGACGTCGTCAGCGACTCTGCCTCGCGCACCGACCGTTGGAGCCGGAGGCACGAGATCGCCACGTGACGTCAACAACGTCACGCCGGGAGCTGGAAGTTACAAAGCGGCTCATGTGACCTTGCCGGGTTGGGCGGCTTCACGCCCAATTGGGCGCGTTTTTAGTTGTACTATCCGGGAAAAAACGGCTTTGGGCGGGTGCCTAATTTTTACATTTTTAATTTAACCTTTTTTTGTTTGTTTTTTGGGTTTCTTTTGAAGATCTTTTCTTACACAGGTTCAAAAGCACGAACCTAAATTGGCCACTCTGATACCCATAGGAGGCCACTCATAACATTGGGCTAACTTTGGGCGAGTATTTGGGTGACTTTGGATCTAGAAGTGCGGTTACATTTCTGCGACACTGCGGTCACCCCTTTGGGTGAGCGGCGGTGTCCGCCCACTGGGACCCTGTCCTACCAGGGTGTGACTGCGGAGTAACAGCCTTACTGTACCTCAAGCGTGTGTGTAACTGCTGTCAGTAACAACAGCCGAACAGTCACTGTAAGAGCAGACGGAAATCCCCTAACCCCTCCGTGTGCAGCAGAGCGAGGCTTAACAGGTGAGTATATAATAATATAATAATAATCCTTGCATTTGATATAGCGCTTTTCACGTCGGGAGGACGTCCCGACAAACCTCATTCCGTCCTTGTGTGACAGCGGACAACAAATCTTAACTCATCAGTGTACACCATTACACAGGAACAGTCTTTTCTGTCAGTGTTTAACAGGAGATGCTGGTGAGAAGTTTCAGTGTGTAACAGGTAAGAAGAGTTTACCTTATTTTTTTCCAGCATCTGCAGCACTTTGGTTTTTGTTTAGTATTTAGGTGTAGGTTGGTAAGAGCCAAAGCCTTGGGGACCTCAGGGAGTGCATTGGAGCACTGCTGAATAGCTTTGTAGTTAAGAGTACTGTTTGGTAACCTTCCCACTGCTTCTACAGCTTGGCTTCCAGGGTTAACAGGGGCCAAGCAGGTCCTACTCTGGTTCCCTGGCACAGCTGCTCACTACAAAATCAAACAGCTTATCATGGTCTACACTATCCAATCCCTTCAGAATCTTAAAGACCGTAATCACACCGCCCGTCAACCTTCTCAAGTGTGAACATGCCCAGTTTATCTAATTGTTCCTCGTAGTCCAGTCCTGCCATCCCCTCAATGATTTTGGTATCCTCTCAATCGCTGCAATATCCTTTTTATATTGCGGTGACCAGAACTGCACACAGTATTCCAAGCGCAGTCACACCAGTGATTTATAAAATGGCAGGATTACCCCACTAATTAGGCTCAATATTGCCCATTTAATACAACCCAGCATCTGGTTTGCCTTACTCACTGCTACCAAGCACTGTTGGGATACTTTCAATTCATTATCAACAACAATATCAATAACTTGGATTTATATAGCACCCTCCACGCCGGACGGCATCTCAGAGTGCTTCCCAGTAACGGATCCCGGAAAGGTCTTCAGCCGAGACCTGAAAATAGGAAGAGAGGGGGCGAGGCAAAGGGAGAGAGGAAGGGAGTTCCAGAGCTACAGATATAATATATCTATATTGTATATATATTATAATATATCGATATTATATATATATTATAATATATATATATTGAATATATTATAATAAGATATAATATACAGAGTTACAGATCAATCAGGATCTCCGGGTCGTTTTCATTTTCCATACAGATTATTTTCTTACCATTTAAATAATAGTCCCTTCGTGGATTTTGTGTCCCCATGTGAAGTACGTTGTATTTCTCTCCATTAAATTTCCTCTGCTATCGATCTGCCCAATTCCCAAGAATGTTCAAGTCCTCCTGTAATCTGTTCTATTCATCTTTGCAGGATAGGTTATCTTTTGTAATTTTATTACTGTCCAGATGCTCCATGATCTTATTTTATAAATAGCAGTAACATCTGCCTTTCTCCAGGCCCCAGGCACCTCTCCAGTATCCAGTGATTTCTGAAAGATTTGTGCCAGAGTTCCTGCAATTTCCTCATTTAGTTCCTTAAGGATTCTCAGTGCAATTTATCCGGCCCTTGGGATTTGCTTACCTTAAGTTTGCACAGTTTGACAAGCATGCTGGTAGTGATATGTATATTGTCACAACTTGCTGCTGCAATACCACTGTGTTCTCTTTGCAGATTCTATAAATTGCCCATCTCTTTACCAAAAACTGAGGCCATAAACGGATTTAGTACTTCTGCAGCTTGTGTAGCATCATTTGTCATATCCTCACTCCGTCCCACCTTCAATGGCCCTATTCCATCCTTTGCTTTTCTTAATGTAATTGAAAAAGGTTTATTGTTATCCTTCACATCTCTTGTGATGTTTAGTTCAAAGTTTTTCTTTGCCATTCTGATACCTTTCTTACAATCCTGGCATGCCTTCTGGTAACAAGTCTGTCTTTTGTCTGAGCCATTTTCCTTCATGGCTTTAAATGCGTTTTTTCTCTCTTTAATAAATTGCACCAGGCTTCGGGACCACATCACTCCCACCCTCGCTCGCCTCCACTGGCTTCCCATCCCCCAGAGGATTGATTTCAAGATCCTCATCCTCACCTACAAGGCCATTCACGGCCTTGCTCCCTCCTACCTCTCCAACCTACTATCCCCCTACCTACCTGCCCGTACCCTCCGTTCCTCTGGCTCTGGTCTGCTCCACGTCCCCCGCCCCAACCGCCCTACCATCGGTGGTCGGGCCTTCAGCCTCTCAGCCCCCAGGCTCTGGAACTCCATCCCCCAGTGCCTTCGCCTTGCTTCCTCCCTTTCCTCCTTCAAGGCCGGTCTCAAAACCTTTCTCTTTGACCGTGCCTTCAGCTCCCTTCTCGACTCTCTTCCCCCTCCTCGCTCCCTCCCTTCCCTCCCCTCACCCTGACCATTTCCCCCCTCCTTGCTCCCTCCCTTCCCTCACCCTGACCATTTCCCCCCTGCTCGGGTCATGACCCAACTGTGCAGCGCCTTGGGACGTCCTCCTGACGTGAAAGGCGCTTTATAGATGGAATCTTGTTGTTGTTGTTGTTGTTGCTTTGTGGCCCCTTGATTTACTTGGGTACACGTTGATCCATTGCATTCCGAACCACCTCCTTGAATGAGATCCATAATGCCTCTGCTTCTTTAGCCATCAACAACAATTTGCATTTATATAGCACCCTCATGTTAGCGATTAGCATCCCAGAGCACTTGAGTGCATGGACCAGTTTGCAGTGTTTGCAAAGAATCCATCCATAACCTGGACCTGGAAGGCAAACATCACACAACTTCTGCAACGCACAAGGTATTCCATTTTCATTGAAGTTTAACTTGCTTCTTATTGATTCCTATTTCTATTATTCTGCTTATTTTTATATAAGCACCTCCTTCCCCTTCTGCACCAAATTCCCACTCGCACCAAATTCCTTCACTAGTCTCACTATTTCCACTTCACTCTGTTCACAGCTCACTCTGTTGGGGTCTCTGCTCTTGGAGTCAGATAAGCTCCACAAAGACCCTGTTTACCTCCCATACCTCCGGAGGATAGACACTAGTTGGTCATTTGACATTCAGTACAGTACAATTTACAATTATGCAGTGCCCTTCACATCAGGAGGACATCTCAAGGTACATCTGACAAGCACAGGTTTGGGCCAATGCTAGATTGATTGCAGGAACCAGCAAGTTTCTTGGTCAGCAAAACTAAATCAGACTCCAGGTAACACTTTCCAAAAGCTGTCATCTCGGCTGTTTCTTAATGAGCTATTTGATGGCCTTCAGTTAGTGGGAGGACCTTAACAGGTTTATCCATATCAATGAGTAACATAAGGAATGGGTAGGACCTGTATCCCCTTTGGTGGGGTTTAAATAGTGAGATTTGCAAAATGTTTATTAAATTGGGAATCATGGGTAACCCTGTGGAATTCCGCTCAGATGCCAGCATCATGGAAATCAAAATTGATATAGACATCCCAAAATATTGTTGGTTGTAATGCATAACAAATTCACCAAATGCTAATGCTATAGCATGTGTCATGATTTTGACCCTATTTGTCGACTAGCAGACAATAAGAACAGCCTAACTTAGCCAGTGTACAACACTAGAAATAGGTAGGATTAATCTGACTTCATTTGTGCATAATATCAGGCACAAGTGGAAATAGTAATTTTTCTTCTTCAGGGCATAACAAGACATCGGCAGACTTACTTCATCAGTGTAAAACAAAAATGGGTAAGAATAGTTTACTACATAAGTGTACAACACAGAATACAAGAAGGAACAGTGCACAATTAAGCTCATGTTAGTCCCTGGTTCTACAGTGTGGTCCAAGAGGCATGCAGCCCGCCGGCTGATGTTATCTGGCCCGAGACCAAGTCCAACATTCTTCCTCCCTGATGAACGTCCTCCCAATGGCAGTGGCTGGAGCTGGCGGTTGGGGGGAACACAGCGGGGAGAGTGGAAATAATACCAGCCATTATTGCAGCATGTACTGGAGCTGAGGGGAAGGGAAGTGCGTCTCCTTAGCCATCGCGTCCTTAGCAACCGCTGGTTCCAACCGCTGCTGATTGGGAGACAAAAGATTGAGAGACGGGGAGTGGAGAGGGGGACAGAGAAGGAGGGGGAGAGAGAAGGGGAGAGAGAAGGGGAGAGAGAAGGGGAGAGAGTAGGGGAGAGAGTAGGGGGATTGAGAGAGGTTGAGGGGAAAGGGGGAGAGTGGGGGGGATTGAGAGAGGGAGAGGGGGAGAGAGAGGGATTGTGAGAGAGGAAATTAAGAGAGGGGGGAGGGGGAAACAACAACAACAAAATTACATTTGTAAAGTGCCTTTCACGTCGGGAGGATGTCCCAAAGCGCTGAATAGTTGGGAATCAGGATCCAAGAGTTTTGGGGGGGCGGGACAGTATTGGGATGAGGGAGGGTAGAGAGGTAGGAGGGCAGCTGATGGCATGGTCGAAAAGGATGGTTCTTGAGTTGTGCCTTGAAGGAGGCAAGGGAGGGAGCAAGGCAAAGGGATTGTGGGATGGAGTTCCAAAG